TTAGTAATTTTAAAACTTTAAAAATTTTGAAATTTTAAAAACTTTAAAAATGTAAAATTTATTATAATGTTGCACTGACGGGATAGTACTATATGCATACATGTAGATAATGACATCTTCTGTAAATAGGAATTTTGTTAATAGCATTAACAAGTTAAGCTTGGTAGATCGGAGAATTATTCGAAGAATCGAGAAACTATCATATAGATTGAGTACTGTAACCAAAATCTGAAATGACGCCCCTGTTTTTAACTATCGTTAATTAATGTTCAAATAAACTCAAAAATTTCAATGTCGGTGTGTTCGTTCGTGTATTTTAAAAAATCGACGTTTGTACTGGCATCGAAATTTTCTTGTTTTATTAACAACAAATAATTGGTTAATTAGAACTAGATAACAAGCCACATAAATCTTTTTCTTTATTTTATTATTAATCTAAACAGTAATGGGGTATACCATATTGATGTTCCTTTAAATTTTAATATAATCAATATATTTTTTCAATTATTTATATTAAATATTACTATTGAATAAAATCAATCAATCTATCAATCTTCGTTTAGCGTCCAGAGACTCTGTTCCCCATCAATTTTTTGCGCCAAATTAGACGATCACTTGTATCCATTTCATTTAAATTTAGAACTTTCATGTCTTGCTCGGTTGTTTGCGACCAGGACTTCTTTGGACGGCTTTTGGGACGTGTGCCAGGTACTTCAACATCTGCAAGAGAAGTTATGGCACTGTTTCCACTTCGTTTGACATGACCAAACCACCTCAGACGGTGTTGCCGGCATTCGTCCTTTATATCCTCTAAACCAACCCAACGCAGGATTTTGGTAGATTTGATGTGGTCCCTCAGACTATTTCGTTGCATCCATCGGAGCATTTTCATATCGGTTCGGTGAAGTTGTTGTTCCAGTTTGGTTGTCATTGGCCATGTTTCTGCACCATATAACAACACCGGACGTATCACAGATTTATAAAGTCTTGATCGTAGTGGTTGTGGGATATCACGCCGCATCAATATAGAGGCAAGGAGATGCCATTTATTCCAGGCTGCACTTATGCGTGCTTGAACGGCAGCTTCAGCTGTTCCAGTACAATCCAGAACATCCCCTAAATATTAAAACTATGTGACTTTCTCTACCATAATGGCTTCAAAAACATTGCTATTTTGAATTTGTTGTCGTGGATTGATGCAAGCAGGACAAACAAAATTGGACACTTTAGATAAAGTACCAATTAATTTTGAACAACGTTTGTTACACCACTGGTTATTTATTTATTTTTTTTATCCAAATTTATTTGACAAAAAGTCAGGAGATCAAAAAAGTAACAAAAGTACTTGCGAAGACCACCCATGACTAAAATCAAACAAAAAACTACATTTATAGACATTAGTAAAAAGAAAAGAAAAGAAAACCAGAAACACACAAAAAATGAAGGTCATATATAAACAGTCAATTAGCACGCCCATATGTCATCACAGCGTCTTTTGCACATAGCTTAAATCTTTTCAAAGGCAGATGCGTTTGACCATCCATGGCCAAATCATTCTATAATTTTGGACGCTTTTTTATCCAGCTACGTTGGTAGGTGGAAGCTTTACATTTTTTTAACAACAATTGACCACGTTGCCTGGTATTTGTCTGAATCCTATCAAAAAAATTTAACTGCTTATAGTCTTTATTAATAAATATTTTATAAACAAATACCAGCAGAAAAAAATTATGCAATTGTTCTATTCTAAGAATTTGATGGTTACGAAACACGTCATCAGTATGATCGCAAAAGTTCAAAGAAAAAATTATTCGCGTATAACGTTTTTGCATCACTAAAACTTTATTGATCCAATATTTACTGGCGGATCCCCAAAACACATTTCCATATAACAAATGTGGATAAAAAAAAAATAATAAAGTAAGATCATTGACTTGACATTCAACCTGTCTCTCACTCTGAACAGAATCCCAACTGCACAGTACAGCTACGGACGATCATGTCGATGTGCTCATTCCATTTCAGATCACTTTGTATAACAATTCCCAAAAATTTTACCGAATGAACCCGTGGAAGAGATATGCCCTGGATAATCAGCTCCAAGCCACTCAGGGGCACCTTGTTCGTTTTTATCGAAGGACCAAAGATGACATAACAAGACTTGTATATGTTCACTGTCAGCCCATTGGACAAAAATCAATCATAAATCACACTAAGCTGGCTATTCACCTCCGTGAATAAGCCCAGCAGGCTCTTACCTGACAAAAAAATACTGGTATCATCAGCAAATAACATCACAGTGCATCTATTGGATACAGAAAAGATATCGTTCACAAATATTATAAACAACAAAGGTCCCAATATGGAACCCTGAGGGACACCTGTTAGAATCCTTAAAGGGGATGACACAACATTGTCAATAGAAACACACTGACTATGATCAGATCTGAACCAATCAAGAACAATTTCACGAAACCCATATTTAAACATTTTTCGAAGCAAAATTTCATGGTCAATCACATCAAAGGCCTTTTTCAGGTCAATAAAAACACCTAAGCTGAAATTACCTTTATCAAAGTTCTCCAAAAGAGACAAGTGCAACTCTGCAATGGCTTTCTCAGTAGAGGACTTAGGAACAAAACCCTATTGGTGCTTATTAATCACATTATGTTCAATTAAAAAATTCCACATTTTATTGAACATTAATTTTTCAAATATTTTAGAAAATACCGGTAATATTCAAATTGGTAGGTAGTTACCAAACATAGTCGGGTCGCCACTTTTGAAAATTGGTAAAACTTGGCTATTTTTAAAACAGACGGAAATATACCCGTTCTAACAGACTCATTAAACAAAAAAGAGATGTGACCAGCTATCTCAAAATCTTGGTTGACAAGAAATTACCGTCAAAACTATTTTTTAACTTTAATTGGTTGACTACAGTTATAACCTCTTCAGGTGTTGATTCACGTGGAACGAATGTTTGATCATCCTCAATTCGTAAGAAAGTAAGATCAGCATTAGGCCGGATGTCCGTCATTTTGCTGGTATTAATGCCTATTTCAACAAAAAAATTATTTAACTCATTTACCTTTGCTAATTTAGTGGATTCATTTGCATCCTTTGGAAATAATTTATTACTAGGTGCATTAGAAGTGGAACCTAATATCTCATTTATGATTCTCCATTTATTTTTTGAATCAGGATTATTATTTTATCTATTTTCAAAAAAAATTTTATAGTTAATCTTTTAAAATTAATAAATCTATTTTTAATTTTAATATGAGTATTTTTATTTTTAGGGGTTGGATTAGTCAAGTATTTTCTGTAAAAATCATCCTTAATCAAAGCATGTTTAAAAAGATTTGTGTTCATCCACACCTTGCGAAAACGGTTCGTTTTGTTCATCAAAGGACATGCCAAGTCAACGCTTTTCAAATAACCTTTAAAGAAAATTTCAAATCTCAATTCATAATTAATCTCAGCATAAAAGCTGTTCCAATGAGTACTTTCAAGCAAATCATTTGCTTTTTTCAGATTAGTTGCATTTACCTGTCTGGTCTTAATGCAAGAGGATTTGCCACTAATTGATTCATTTGACAACTGACAGCAGATAAAAATTGGCAGATGATCAGAAATATCACTATATAAAATTCCCATTAAACAATTTCTATTATTATAATTTGTAAAAATATCAATTGTAAATGAATGATTATCCGTTATCCTAGTTGACTGAAAGATTATTGGATGCAAATTGAAAAGGGCCATGAGGTTCAAGAATGAAAAGGATACCTGGCCCTCTGTTGCCAAGTTAATATTAAAATCACCAGCTATGAATGCAATATTTCTGGAATGACAATTAAAGTGGTTATAAAGAAATTCATAGAATACATAAAAAAACAGCAAGCTTGCCATTGGGTGGTCTATAAATGCACAAGAAAATATATTTTCTGTTAACATATTGTAACCAGAAACCTGGCCATTCAAAAACCCCCAAATTATGAGAAAAATTGAAATTTAAATCATTATGAGTTAAACACTTATCAATTAAAAAGCCAGTACCTCCACCCCTTTTACATTCTCTATTATTTAGGATTAAATTATGATTAGGGAAATATGCAAGTATGGGGCCATAAGAAGTGTCATTATCCATCCATGTTTCACTCAAGGCAATTATCAAAGGGATTTTAACATTTGTCTGCAGATTGTTAATTAACAAAGATAGATCACAAGCAGGAGAGGCCAGACTTCTAATATTAACATGCATTAAAAACAAATTGAATTTTATGTTAATTGCATTGCATATTGATTTACATATTGATTTAATAAGATCAGAGAAGCTAAAATGATGATCAAACCCATCAGAATAATAAAAGTCACGATTAATTATCGTATCAATATCATCAAAATTATTCAATGTACAAGATCTATCAGTAAGCACATTCATTGAATTAGAGATCTTCCCAGCAACACAGGTCACATCATTCATGTTAGTGATGGAGCCATCATTCATGACATTATTTATAATGAAGTTCATTTCATCATTCACATCCACACTTGTGTCATTATCTATAGCAAAATTCATATCCTCATTTATATCCACATTCAAATTATCATTCATATTAGTGTTTGTACCATCACACAAATCAAGTACCATTGCATTATTCATATCAATGTCCGCACCAACACTCACATCAGCATTCATATGTATGCTGGGACTAACATTCACATCAATAAACTTATTAGCATTTAAAACAAAATTCGTATTTTCCTTCATACCCTCATTTATTACAACCCTATTATTAACAACAACAGATGAGACATGTAAGTCCCCAGAATTAAACACAACTCATCAAATTTGCAAGACATTGAGTTTTAGTTTGACATAATAATGTTTAAGTCAAAACTCCCTTCATAACTTGACTTGGCTGTATTGGTAAATTTTGCTTCCAATAAGCAACCGCATAGAAGCCCTCTGGATTGCCCTTCAATCTGAAAGTTCATTTTGTAATATCCTCTTTAGTAGCAATTTTCCTTCTTTTATCTTCAATTATCCTCTTGTTGATGGCTCTGTCTTCTTTAGACAGATCATGATTAATTATGACACTGCCGAAACTTGCAAAATTTTTCAATCTAAAACAGTTTGCAAACAGCAAGTTTTTGGCATTTGCATTAGTAAATTGCACTAGAACCGGTCTGATCCTATTTTCCTCAGACCTCCTGCCCATTCTGGATACCTCAATTACATCCGTCTCAAGATCAATGCCAGCAATCTTTTTTAACAGCCCACCAACAGATACTTTAGGATTATTTTCTTTCTCCTCAAGATTGTATATGATTATGTTATTTTTTCTTCTCTCTCTGTCATTATTTAATTCAATTTTTGCTGATGTATCCAAGATGGTTTTTTGCAAAATTTTTACATCCGTTGTTAGCACATTACTGTTTGTCACCATTTCAGCTGCCCTATCCATGAGAGACTGCTGCATCTGTTTCACATCAGTTGCAAGTACATCCACTTTTCCCTTACTACATCTGAATATCTCATCAGTGCCTGCTCACCTTTCTCAATCGCTGTCATGGAGGCTCTCCAATTGACTTCCAGCCGTTGTAAACATGCGAGTGAAAAATTCTCTATTTTTTTTGGAAAGAGAGATCAATTCCTCTTTCAATTCGTTTATGGCTCCTTCAAGAGTCTCAACTCTGGACACAAATCCATTCACCAATTTTTGGGGATCTTTCAAACCAGTGCCCAGGTTATCGAAAAAGGCACCGTTTTCTGTGCGGCACTTTTCACACAGCTTTAAACCACAATCCTCTGGTTCCGTAGCTTTTTCAGGCATCTTCCTAGTCCGTGTCGGTTACACTGCTGACACTTGATTGAATTGTTACTTACACCAGCTTTACAAACTGAACAGGGCCATCGTCCAGTAGCTGTGGATTGGATGGGTTCACCAGTGCTCATTGCTTTGGTTTTGCTGATGTTGACTTTGAATCCATGATCAGCCAGTCTAGTGTTCCAATCTTCAAACATTTGTGCTCTATTCTGCTCAGACGTGACTGTTAAATCTATATCATCTGCATATATTAGATTCCAAATGTCCCCAGTGCGTATAGGCTTTGTGATTTCTGCCATCACAGTTTTAAATAACAGTGGACTGAGAATCCAGCCTTGGTGAACTCCAACGCCGAAGTCAAATGCATCTGTGTTTCCAATTGTTGTGCTGACGAGAGTCTTAGTATTCGTATACATTTCCATCACAAGTCAAACAAGATATTCTGGAATGAGTTGTCAACGTAGACTCCACCTGATTGCTTCACGGAGAACTCGATCAAATTCTTTTTCAAGGTCTACAAAAATGTGTGATAGATATTGATGCTTTGTGAGGTACTTCTCTTGCAGTTGCCGAATGATGTGGATTGCATCAATTGTTGATTTTCCAGCTAGGAAACCAAATAGATAATTTCCGATTGTGATGCACGACGTTAATATTCTCTCAATATTTTCTCGACAATTTTCAGGGAGTGTTCTAACATACGGTTGAAGTATTTTCTCCACTGTAGCTTGATCTCATCTTGCTCAAGAACCATTCCATTTTTTCGTTTTTAATACATGAGGCACCAACTAGGTCTTGTTTCGTACGCTTTGCTTGTTTTGCTATATGATACAGAAATTTCCTTTGTTCACCTTTGCATTTAGTGAGCCACTCTCGGCACTCTTTGCGCTGATTTGTCCGAGCCAGTGCGACTTGACGTCTTGCATAGTTGTTTTCTCACGGAAAATTTTATGGTCATCAACAGACTTTGATTTTTGCCATTGCTTGTATGCAGCTTTCTTTTCAGCTATTGCATTTTGTACACTGTCATTCCACCACCAAGTGTCACGTTCATGCTGGCGCTTTGTACCAGTTTTCCCACAAACTGTAGTTGCAGCGTTTATCAAAACGGTTTTGTACGTACTCCAAACTATACTGGCTTGCGATTTGTGGTTTAACTGTGTGGCAACAATCTGTTGAAATTTTTCTCGATGAATATTGCTTTTCAGCTTCCACGTTTTGATTCACCGAGGCATTTGTTTAGACTTATGTTGTGACAGTTCAACAACCAGGTCTGCCACAAGGAGTCAATGTTGGGCGACAATGATTTGCCAGGTATAACTTTGACATTTTTGAATAGCCTTCGGTGTTGTTGCTTGACAGCGAAGAAATCAATTTCACTTTTGTTTGTTATGAGATGTTCCAACCTCTTTATAAAATATGTCTTCAGTAAACAAAACCCTTGACTTTCAGCAAACTCAAGGTTGCGGTTGCCATCTTCATTCCGTTCTCCATAGCCAAAACCGCCATATAAGTTGTCGAAACTTTTGCTTATATGCCAGAAACGCTTTTTAAAAATATTTTATAATTTAAAATCAACTGACCACGCCAAACATCTGTTTGTCGAATCTTAAATACTGACTATTCATCAAATAAATTTTTATTTTCTGTCAATATTTACATTTAAATATTTGCACAATTAATTACCATCATACTTTTCAAATCTCTTGAATTTATCGAATAACATAAAATCTTTAGAAACGAGATAAAATCACACTTTTATATTTATCCATCTAGATTGAATGTTATAAAAAATAGCTTATCACATACTGCTCCATTGCTATGGGACTGTGTTATTCCTTATAGTTTAAAAAATATTAATAATATTTTCTTATTTAAAAAGCGCCTTAAACTGTTTGCAGCCATTATAAACAGCCCTAAATTGTCATAGTTGTTACTAACTAATCCACGATTTACCATCCAATCGGATTTACCATCCTTAAGGATATACATATCTAATTTACTTTCTTTTTTTTATTTAATTCATATGTATACTTTCAAACCGTCAATTACTCATGATTTTAATTAAGATTATTTTGACTTAGTAAACGAAAATTTTTGACAATCGAACGAAAATATTTTGATTTTAGTTAAGGGTGGTCTATCCACAAGAATTTCTTTTCTTATTTTGTTTGGCTTCCTAATAAATATTCTATTCATATTCTATTCATATCGTATACTCTTAAATCAAATGCGAGTTGCGATGGAACAAAATATTTTAACTGTTCAACATGTTTCTTAACTTACTTTGGAGATAGTCTTTTACTTTCGAATTTTTACCTTCAAAATCATATTTTTTACCCAGATATGTAAACTGATCATTGGTAGCTATTTGAGTAATTGACGCATCATCAAGCTTCAATCTGGGTCGAAATTGTTCATATTGACCTTCTTTTTTTCGCATTCCGAATGTGCAGCATTTGTCAGGTTTTATCTTCATGTTTGTCCACTTGCACCATGCATTGTTGATATCGATTAACGTCTGGGCACTTTCTGTGTTGTTTGCAATAATTGCGGTGTCATCAGCAAATTGGAGCCAAGCTTTTGATTTTAGATTAGCTGTTGGACCCTAGAAATAACCGCATTGTTGGTACACTTTTCTTTCTATTACTTTCATTAGTTGGTTAAAACAGAGGTTGAACAGCAGCGGCGAGCAGGGATCAACCTGAAGCATTCCTCGTCCCACTTGAATGAGCGGTGTCAGTTTATCGCATGTTGATACTGTTATCAAGTAATCATTATAGATTGATTTGATTAAATTACACACTTGGCGACGGAACAATGTGATACCTCAAGGCTGATATGACGAAAGCATGATTAACCTCACCGAACGCATTTCGTAGATCCAGAAGAGTGACGATGATTGATCGCTGGTGCTTTTTGGCGTCTTTTATCAAATGCATCAACAACTGATTATGTTCCGCCACCTAGTCAATTTTTGGGTAGAAACCTTTTTGAGTTGTTGTGTCGATGAGGTTGTTCATTTCTAAGTAGCCATATATTCTGTTATTGATGAGTGTTGAAAAGATTTCATAAAGGGCTGATTGTAAAGTTATTGGTCGGAAATTTGCTTGGTCACTAGGATCAGCCTTTTTGTAGATTAATTTTGTGAGGGCTTTCCTCCAGCACGTTGGAATTGAGGACAACTTTCAGCATTAAACCAGCAGTTGGTGAAAAATTGTGCGTAGAATGGGGCATCTTTTAAATATTATTACAGAGATTTGGTCCAGAGGACAAGAAGATGCTTTTGATTTACATTTTTTAATTATTGAAGCAATTTCATTGTTTTTTGGAGGATTGGTGTTGAAAGGAAGGGTAGCTTGTTTTTGCAGCGGAATCCATGGTGACAAGCAGTAGTTGCTATGCTGAGATTCGTTTAGCATATTTTGAAAATACTTTTGGCAGTGTGAAGTTCCAAACGTAGGCTGAACGCCACTTGCCGGTTGGAATATATTTTTACATGTTGACCAAAATTTATTTTTTAGTTGGTTGGTGATGTCCGCTTTACTTTACGTTTTAGTCGTTACTTGTAGAGCTAATTTTTTTCTTATTAGCTTCCTCAACTCTGATATTTGTTCATCAAACTGCCAGGTGTTTCGGCCTAACATCGTCAAGCTTTTCAATCTCTTTTTTATTGTTTTTATTGATTTATCTTGTTTTATTGGTAGAGTGGTTTTTAAGTTTTGGTTATCGTATGTGGAGGCTAAGTATTTGTAGATTAAGGCTTGAAAATGTACCGTAAATTCGTTTATGTTTTTGATGTTGGGTAGAGATGATCTTTGTATGTGAAAATATGAGTTTGCCTCATCCCATTCGGTCGCGGATCTTGGTAGTTTTATACCTTGAAGAGGGATGACTGAAGAAGGGTTGTTGTCGGTGTCGGTCGCTGTTGCCGCTGCGATGTTGATGCCGCTGTGGTTTGACGTTGATGCAGGTGTATCGCCATTGCTGCAGTATGCTGTTGTCGTCGGCGGCCCTGTGGCTTATTCCCCTTGTGCTACTGTTTCTGGGAGTTTTAGTCCTTGGAGAGTCATTACTGTAGCAATGTTGTTTGTTGCTACTGACGACGGCGGTGAAGTAGTGTTGTTTGCTGCTGTTGACGTCGGCGTTGCAGTAGTGTTGTTTGTTGCTGCTGACGACAGCGGTGCAGTAATGTTTATTGCTGCTGCTGACAACGGCGTTCTTGTCTGTTGCTGTGGCGGCGTTAACATCAAGTTGAGGTTGGGATCGACCTGCTGGCTTGGAGCCTCGTTCGATTTATTTAAATTTTTCCATATTTTGCAAGACCGTTAATGCATCTTAAGACCTTTTAATACCTTGCAACGTCTTCCACAACAACAGGAACTTAAATTATTATCGAGTATATTATTTTAATGTTTATTATTTGAAATGTTTACAAGCAAATTTGGCGATATTGAAACATTGGTTTTCGGAGAATTTTGTACTCTTCTATTGCTATTGAGTTGAGTTGATTTTGAACAGCGCCAGGAGTGGCAACCAAGTTTGTTAAAATTTTTAAAACAATATGGGCATTTGCCCGCGTATACAATTAAAATTATTTTTAAAATTAAAATAGATAAAAATATTAATTTAAAGTTAAAATTAATTAGTACCATCTCGACCGTTGTAATTTCTTGAGTCTTAAGAACTAATTTTTATATCATTAAAACTTTTGAAACTTGATTAACGTTAAAAACAGTAAGAAGGCAAATAAAATCAACCGACTTTCGCGTTTTCTTCAACGATAACAATAACAACAACAATAATAATAATTATAATAATAATAATGAGAACATCCTTTTATTTTCTAACTCTAAATACCAAATATCAATAATGAAATAATTATAAAATCCTAAAACACTCAAATCTCATCAATCATCTGTTCCAGTTCAGTTTTCCTTCAACTGGAATGGGAAATCTGGTGCTTCTTTCGCAATTGTTGATGTAATGCATAGTGATGTTCCAGGGCTGAGCATTGTAGCAGAGGTCGGCTGCTTAATGAGGGGAAAGTCGGGTCCGGCGTCTCTCCCGTGGATGCCAAATATGATGGTACAGTATCCATTATTATTCTTATACTGTTATTACTACCATTATTACTACCATTATTATTACCATTATTATTACCTAAAATTTCTTGTTATTAAATTATATTTATCGTCGATATAATTATTATTAAATTAAAGTAATAGTATTAATACTTAAGTTTAAGTTACAACAACACACAGTACATACATTTTCTAATACAAAAGCGTATAGAGCCAAGAATTGCCATTTTAACAATAGCTAAACGTTTGTTGCTGTATATATGAATATCGGCTATTTTTAAATAATTTAAATATAAATGTTAAAATTAAGTTGAAATATTAATTCCAAACCAATGGCGCCAAATTCAAAACCTTTATTCAACTAATTGCTACAATCATTTTGCCCATTTTTAAACCAGTCAAAACCTAATAAACTATGATTATGTCCTCTAGTAGTAAGTTGGACGTTTATCGGCCAACTCTCTTCTCTTCAACTCTCATAATAATAATAATAATGTCAAATTAAAAGTATTAAAAAATCCAATCGGAGTAACTTCAAATGTTTTCAATAAAATCAAATAATTTTTATAGTTGGCGTTCAAGCATGATTTTAAGCTATTGCTGTACTTTGATTGTTTGTAGGTTTTGGACTGGATCAGATTCGTCTTGTGGCACACCGTTAGTTCGACTACTACTATCTTTTGGTTGCGTAGAATGGCAATGTCCGGTCGGAGAGTGCTGAACGGCTGTGAGCATCGGTAGGATATTTGCGAATATTAGGCAGTCTGTAGAACGACATGATATCAACCAGTAAACTATCACTGATAGAATTTTGTTATGTCTCTCAGTATATCTTGATAGGGCCGCCACCGACCCACAATTGGACATTACACGTTTGTTTGTCTGCTGCGCACCACAAAGGGGACAAAGCATCCTGTGTTTTTCCCCATCTGTGATGATTTGCGTTGGTCGGTAGTTGTTGAACGACATACTTTCTCGTAAACTTGTAGAGCGTTTCGGGAAGCGTATCTAACTAATATAATTATTATTTGAGATGGAGATATTGTTGCTGTTACCGATTTGATAAAGGCATCTTGACTTTGCAGAAAAATAATGTGTTTCCAACAGGCATTTATTCGGCTTTTTTCGAAGCTTTCCAGTGACCGAAATGCTGAGACTGATTCTGAAAGCAAGGTGTCCGTCTTTTAGTAATCTATTGCCGTCTCTCTCCAAAGACATCGAATTTCTTAATTCGAACTTGTTTTAAAATAGTTTCGGAGTTTTATTCAAATTTTCGCCGTCGATTACATTGAATTGCGGAGGTAATTTTGCTGATGCTGAAAATGTTGAGTTTCATGTTTTCCAAAAGGTATTAATAAATTAGGATGTAGTTTTGTTTGAACACATTTTAGTTTACGATTTTAATTTCAATTTTTTGCGAATCATTTTGCTTAGTTGATATATTTTTTTGCTGACAACATTTTTATCATTCTGCGCCTTAAATTTCATTAATTCTTTTTTTAACTGGTTGATTGAGACGTTTGTTATCGGGTTGTTTATTGATTTACTTTGTACGAGGCCGTAATTTTTGGCAAAGTATGAGTAGATTATCTGCTGAAAGTGGGTAGCAAAATCATCAATGTCTATGTCATTTAAGCATTGCATTTTAATGCGGAAAGCTATGTTGGTTTCGGTCCATTCTGTGGTTGATTTAGACTGTCTGACGCCTGGAAGAGGCTACGGGACAGTCATCTGAGTAGGTTGATGTTCGAAATCAAAACAGTTTAGGCTTGAAGATACGGACGATTTTTTAAAGTTGACATTTGTCCAGAGGGATTTAAACATTTTACATGATCTTTGATGCATTTTTAATCTTTTTCTGCCCCTGCAAGACCTGCCACAACAACAGGACAAGGTATTATTTAAATTATTTTCAAAATTATTTTCAGAATTACAATTGGTTCTTAACAGACAAGACAAAATATTAATGTTTGCAGAATGGTTTACATTAGTAGATTCTATATTAGTTGCCTTTGTGCACCGCCAGGAGTTAATCATTAAGAAAATTCTGCATCAATCATTCTGTTAAGAGAAATAAAATCTTTGAAACAATGTGGACATACTGTAGCTTCTATTAAACTTATTTGATTTATAATTATTAATAGACAAATTAAATTTTAAAAAATCCAATTTTTATTAAAATTTTGAATAAAAACGGCAGCCATAATCACAAGAATTTTGCACAACTGCTAAACCAAATTTAAACTTTAAAACGTCGGTAATAATAATAATAATTATGTGCAGGGCACATCACTATTTTTTCTATTTGTTTTTGGGCGATAATTAATGTACAATGTGACTTTTACCGTGACATACTTTTTAGTTCGTTCAATTCGTTTCAAATCGTTTGGTTATAGAACGTTGTATTTATTTTACGTAATAAATTAGTATGCGTACATTACTCTTATTGTTTTCTATTTAGTTTGTGTTTCAACTCTTCAAAACAACGAAACACAACAGTGGCGCAGTCGACAGGATTTTTCCTGATTTACGGTGAATACTAATTAGCAGAATGGCGGAAATGAAGGAGATGATGAAGATATTTGCTGAAATGATGTCGAAGCAACAGTTAGAAATGGCGAAGATATTGCAATCTTTTCAAGCCACGCCAGTACCGAAATTCGAATCATTCCAGCCCGAAAAGGAGTTGTTCAAAGATTACATTAAAAGGTTTGAGACTTTCTTGCTGACCAATTCAGTCTCGAAGCAAAAGGCAGCTCAGGTATTTCTTACAAATCAGAGTTCGGACATATATAAAACCCTGGAGACGGTTTCAAAACAAATGTCTCCACCTCGTGATGTAAACTCATTGGATTTCAAGGAGATGGTCGAATATATGAATTCAGCTTTCAACCTTACAACTTTTCTGATTAGGGAACGCTACAAATTCTGGACAAACTGCAAAAGAAAACCGGGCGAATCAGTTCAAGAATTAGCAAACCGAATTCGACAGTCTGCAGCTACATGTGATTTTCTTAATATTGAAAACCCATTAGATGTTGAAGCGTTGAGGACAAATTTCATTTGCAACACTCAAAATGAAGCAATATGAAAGCTCTTTTCAGGATTCCAGAAGCTCAGCTTTCTTTTTCCAAAGCTATCGAGATTGCGGATGAAATTGAAAGTGCAGCAACAGTAGCTAAAGACACGGTCTATGGGGTACATCTCACAGTGATCCGGTTCTGCTGGTACATTCCAGAGGTAACACGGGGGTTCATGCAAAAGGGATCATGAAAGATCCAAAAGGGACTTTCAAACCAGGTAGAAATTTTGGAAAGTTCCATCCAAAATCCTATTCGTCAAGCCACAGATGTGGAAAACATGGCCACTGGGCCTCAGATTGCTTCTCCAAAGGGATGAAATGCTCATACTGCAATAAAATGGGTCACGTAAAGCAAGTGTGTTTTGCTGCAAAATTCAAAAGAAACGTCTTAACCATAAAAACTATTGAAGATGATGATCAACTGCAGCTAGAGCTACATTTTAAGAACTTCAACAAAACTTTTGAAGTGGACAGTGGTGCCAAAGAAAATTTTTGCGATGTCAGCGTTTGGGAAGATTTAGGTTCCCCTTCTTTGGCTTTGGTGAGTTCTCAGTATCGTTCAGCAACCGGCAATAAAATCCCAGTCAGAGGTGCTTGCTCAGTTGTTGCCACGATTTCAAATAGTTAAGACTGGAACCCTATAAAAATTAACGTAACAGACATTCAGGGTTTAAATTTAATCGGTCGAAGATTAATTAAAGATTTCGAAATAGATATCAACAAGATGTTGAGAGACCAGATTAACACAATTTCATGCCCAAACTTTTCAAAGTTGACAAACGATTGTGAAAAGCTATGTCTGGAATTCAAAGAGATTTTTGATCCTAGCCTCGGTTGTCTAAAGAATGTTGAATTGGACATCAAATTCCGAGAAAATATAACACCAGTTTTCAGACGACCACGAACTGTTCCTCTTGCAATACAAGACAAAGTAGATGACGACTACACGATTGAATACATGAAGACTTCAGAACACGGAAATGCAGATGCGTTGAGTCGCTTACCATCGGGTGAAGATCCAAAATTTGATGCTGCAGAGGAATTTCAACTCTATTTAAAAGAGAGGGGGATTCAGCACCTTACAGGCGCCCCATACCACCCGGCAGAGAGGTTCGTTCAAACTTTTGAAAGGTCTATGGCAAAATCAACATTGCCGACCGAAGCTGCTTTACGAGAGTTCCTCATGCAATACAGAAGAACTCCTTTTTCAACCGGTCTTTTAGTTCATATTTGCCTGCATGATATTCTCCGACCAATTTTAAAAGGGAAAGAGAGGGAAGAAAACTACAATAAGGTGAAATGTTCGATTTTGATAAGTCAACCGTGTTATGTCAAGTACTATGGCCCAAGAAGAGATCGCCAAGCCAGTTGGGTTCCTGCAATAGTTGTTCGAAGATTAGATCGTCAAGCCAGACGGGCTCCTGCAATAGTTGTTCGAAGATTAAGTCGAAGACACATATTGGTAAAATCGATCTCACATGGTCTTCTATGGAAACGACACGTAGAGCAAATCCGTCCTAGATACGGTGCCAACCAAGATGGCGACCCAGGGGAAATCACTGGGACCCAGTCCCAATTTGATTCAAGGCATTCAATCGTCAAACCTACCACGCCTGAAAGTAGTCAAGTGCTTTTCGACCCGATATCTCTCCCAAGAAGATCGGAACGTATACGTCATAAGTTTGCCCACAAACTTTAGCTTGTTGGGGAGGTGTTAGGTGCAGGGCACATCACTATTTTTTCTATTTGTTTTTGGGCGATAATTAATGTACAATGTGAATTTTACTGTGACATGCTTTTTAGTTCGTTCAATTCGTTTGGTTATAGAACGTTATATTTATTTTACGTAATAAATTAGTATACGTACATTACGCTTATTGTTTTCTATTTAGTTTGTGTTTCAACTCTTCAAAACAACGCAGCACAACAACAACAATAATAATAATAATGGGAACGATCTTTTATTCAGCAATAAAAACAATGAACATGACAGTACAAATAAAATAAAATAATGCAAATGCAATAAATAGAGTATTAATCTGAGAAGCTTATCATTCGAATCGAGAGATTACGACTAGACTTAATTAATTTTAAAATTGATTCATTTCACATTTCTGTCGCGATAGATAGAGTATGACGATGATATGGCAGAGTTTGTAAGGTTGGTAAGGTATTATTGGGAGAAGTTTCATTTGTTGGTACGTTGTTGGTAGTTAGTCAGTGGTTAGACGGGTGAGCTGGAAATACGGTACGGGGTTGTTACGAGCTCAACGACGACAAACGTAAGGTAGCGAACGAAGTAGTTATCTGTTGCGTTGGAGGGTGGCGAACGAAGTAGTTGCCTTTCAACGTAACAACAACGTTTGTCGGTTGGGTAAAGCACAGGTGGTGCAATATTGGTACAGAAGACGGCTGGAACCGAAGAAGTCAACCCCACATAACACCAGTGATCGAAGGATTCTACATTGTTGTCAAGTGAAGAAGTTGAAACAGTATCCGCTCGTACGTGGTCACAGCATTGGCAGGAACAAGTCTGCATACTAACCTCAAACTTTAACTTTTATTTTGGTTTTCTTTATTGACATTGTATATTTATTTGGTATAGTTTTCAGTTTACAGAATAAATTTTTTTTGATTTGTGTCTACGTCTCAACTTTGCCGCTAAGAACCCGCTACATTTGGTGTCAGAAGTGGGATTCTGTCAATAGGAAGAAGGACAGAAAGCGGCAGTAGATTTTGTCAACAGGAAGGACAGAAAGCGCCAGTGGTAAGAGTTGGCGTTTGTCAATTGCCGGTGAGTAATTTTCATTGACGAAGATACACAACGAAAACAACGTGGTAAAGTTGGTAAAGATGGCCTACAATTTATGGTCGAAAGACAAAGGCATGAACGAGGGTGATGAGGAGATAACGTTGGATCCCGTGCAATTCGGATTATGATGGAAGCAGCAGAAAAGAAGGAACGACGCAGAGAACAAGCAGCGGAAAGAGCTGAAAGACGAGCAGAGGAAGCAGCAGCTGAAGAAGTAAGATTGAAATCAAGGTTGATGGAGGAAGATATGAGGGAACGTAGAGAAGCTGACATACAGTTGAGGAGAATAATAATGCTCGGCAAGGAGACCATACCGCTAGTATAATTCGTAGAATCAGTCCAATGTTAGGAATGTGTCCTATGAATCCCCGTGAAATTGCAGCATATTTTCAGAGGATCGAAGGAATATTTGACAGCCATCGAGTTAGTGAGGAATTGCGAGCAGATCTGTTACTGGCTAATTTGGAAACAAAGATGAAGACAGTACTAAATGAGATTAAAACTGATGATTATCTAAATTATGAAGTAATCAAACAACAGATCATACGTTATTGTCGTTTTTGCCCGATGACACTCCGCGATGAATTCTTTTTGGCTCGGAAGGCACATGGTGAGACATATCCTGCATTTGCAATTTGCATCGAGACTACATCAAAATCTCCAATTCTATTTTCAAAGTCGGAAGGTTGAAACGTTGGATCAAGCACTTTCACTGCTAGTCGTGGACCGAATGAAGAAATTGTTGCCAAAAAACTTGTTGGAACATGTATTAGCTCAGGAAGGTGAGGAATGGTTAACTCACGAACGTCTGGCCAATGTTGTGGAAATATATGAGGCCAACATGAACATGAGACTGTCTAGTAATGTAGCCTCAGGCTATAAACCACTCCAAACGGCTGTACGTCCCGGAACACATCCCAAATGGCTCAACAAAAAGGTTGTAAAAGGATCAATATCAAAGGTAGGTTGTTATCACTGTGGTAGTCGGGGACATCTTGCTAAATTTTGTACCCAGAAAACAAATCATAACTCCATCAAGAAGCTCTTGAAATGCCAGGTCACTGCTATGCCTCAGGCCACAAAGAAGTTGAAGAAACCAGGTATTACTCCTGGGACCATACAGGCTGAAAAATACTTCAAAAGACCATTTGTTCAGGTTAAAATTCAAGCTGGTCCGACCTGTGCAACATTGGAAGATAGTGGAGCAGAAGTATGTAGAATCTCTCAAGACTTATGTCACAAGTTAAACATACCCAGAGGGGAACGTTTGAGGATCAAGGGATGGAATGGACCAACGACAGAAGTTGATGGTGCATGAATAATGATGGCCTATAACCCTGATGAAGGCGAAAGTATTGCCCCCGCTGTACGAGTATGGTGTGCAGTGGTACCTAATGCCAGCGAACAGTTAATTATTACACCCAAGATGGTAGAATTGTTGAAGATGGCAGAACAGTATGTGGTACCTGCCGTGAAACTCGAGATGACCGAGAATATCACACCAATCAAGTTGGGGAATGAGAGCACCTTGACGTTCTACAACACTGATAGCTTCCAGATACCATGTCAGGAGAGGTGTGGACGATCTGATAGGCGTGATGGTGTTGATGCAGCCAAACGTCGTGTCAGTGAAAATGATGATAAGTGTAATGATGAAAGCATTGTTAGATCACATAAGGTTAACAAAGCTGGTACCCATACAGTTCACAACAATAATAGTAATAACAATAAAAGTAATGTTGGACGATATGAAGTAGCTCACAACAGCAGCAACAGCAACACTACTGGTAGATTGATATCTAACAACAGTGGTAGTGAAAGTACTTCCTACAATGACCTAAAATTAATAATGGTAAAATAGATGGCAGCAGTATTTTAGATAAGGTTGGGAATGAACTAGTTAATGAAAATAATAATTGTAAAATATATGGCAGTGGTATTGTAGATATAGTTGATGATCATGAGGTTGATGAGGAGAAAGATGATGAAGTCAGTGGAATTAATAATTGTAATTTGGATGCCAGCAGTGTTGATGGTGATGAGGATCACGACGTTGATGGTGAGGAGGATGAGAAGATGGAACGTAATGTTGGTAATGTTGATCAGGCAGATGATGCTGGTAACGTTGGTCAGTCGGATGAAGCAGATAAGGTAGATGGTGTGGGAGATGTGGTTCGGTCAGGGGAAGCAAGGGTTGGTAGCGACGGTGGTCGATTAGTCGATGATGAAGAGGCGGATGTTCATGATAATGATGGTGGTCAGGAAGATGCGACGATGAAGAATAATAAATGTAATATTAGAGATGAAGATGATAAAGAGAGTGTGGAAAGTGGCTGTACGCTGGAAAAGAAAAAATTCCTTCAGGAACAACGTAAATGTCAGACGCTCAAAAAATGTTGGGAGTGGGCGAAAATGAAAAAAAAAGAATTTTTTTTATCGAAGATGACATTTTATACCACCAAGAAACTGTATTGGGTTATAAAGTGAAACAGTTGAGTTTGCCAGCAACCAGGCTTCAGATAGTGATAGAAATGGGACTTGATAAACCGTTTGCTGGACACATGGCTGCTAAATCTACAAGACAAAGGGTGGCCCTTAGCTTTTGGTTTTCAGAAATGTGTGAGAAGATACGAAGATATTGTCACTCTTGTCAAATATGCCAACTGAGAAACCCGGTCAGGATAACAGAAAGAACTCCCATAACTCCCATTTTCAGGAAGGAGGAGGTACCATTTTTCCATCTGGTAATGGATTGTATTGGTTTGATGATATCAACGGAAAGCGGACCCAAACCAAGATATAATTACGCCTTAGTTGTGGTGGATCTTTTTACTAGATGGCCCATGGCATACCCGATGAGGCATATTACTGCCAAAGCGACATGTGAGGTGCTGTAACAAATTTTTATGACTTACTCTATACCAAGGGCCATCAGTTCAGATCGGGGTACTAACTTCACGAGTAGTATAACGCAGGCATTGCTTCAAAATTTGGGATGTAGTCCTTTATTCAATACACCGGGACATCCGGAAGCGGCAGGAGTGGTGGAACGATGTAACCAGTCGTTGAAGGGTATGATCCAGAAGTTGGCGCAAGATCATCCTCGTAGTTGGCATCGTATGTTACCATTTGTTTTGTGGGCTCTTTGAGAGAAACCTTCAGCGACCACTCATGTTAGCCCGTTCACCATGTTGTATGGAACGTTGCCTAGGGGTCCTTTAATGATTTTAAAAGAATCATGGGTGGGAGAACGCTGCTTGCCACTAAAACTAGGAAAACAACCTGATGTATACCTGAAAGAGTTACGACACAACTTGGAGGTCGTGCATGGTTATGCGGAGGATCATGCTGACAAGGAACAGCAACGGTACAGAAGACGGCTGGAACCGAAAGAGTCAACCCCACATAACACCAGTGTTCGAAGGATTCTACATTGTTGTCAAGTGAAGAAGTTGAAACAGTATCCGCTCGTACGTGCTCACAGCACTGGCAGGAACAAGTCTGCATACTAACCTCGAACTTTAACTTTTATTTTGGTTTTCTTTATTGACATTGTATATTTATTTGGTATAGTTTTCAGTTTACAGAATAAATTTTTTTTTGTTTTGTGTCTACGTCTCAACTTTGCCGCTAAGAACCCGCTACACTGTGTCTTAAACTTAATCCTTCCAAATTTGAATTAATTTGTTTTTTTTTTAATCTAAAAATCTTACTATTCTTCCTATTATTATCTTACCTGATTCTAAAACTCTTGATGTTTCTCACAAGTTTCGTAATCTAGGCTTTATCTTTGATTCTACCATGTCTCTTTTTTCTCAGATAAATAGTGTTGCTAGATGTTATTTTTTTTATCTACGTAGAATTAAAAAACTTTTGCCTTTTCTTGATGATCCTACTCTTCTCCATTCTTGTTACTTAGTCTTATCTAGAGTTGATTTTTGTAACTCGCTCTACTATGGTCTTCCTATTCTTTAAGTAAAGCTTTTAACTCAGCTGTTTGCCTAATTGCTCGTGTCCTTTCTTTTCTCATATATCCTCATATCTTTTTTTCTAGCACTGGTTACCCATAAAATATAGAATAATTTTTAAAATTTGCACATTTATTTATAAGTCTCAATCTATATTATTTCCTAAGTACTTACCAGATATATTAATTGAACCTGTGCTGTTAAAGGATTATTAGCGTAATACATATGTTCCATTAAGCTATCAGAATCCATTTTTGATCTATGCTTATTCATTCCATATAACTAGAATAAATATAACGGCCTTCGCTCACTTTCAACGGTCGAACAAGGTAAATACTTCCGGAGGGGAGTTGGAGGGTGATTTTTTATCGTTCGAGTCAAAAGTTACGATCGTATATTACGGAATATTGCTTTTATTTAAAATGTTAAAATTTAAATTTTTTAAAATTGTTATTTAATGTGGTAATTAATAACTTTTATTTGGTATAAATTAAAAAAAATAAAATTGTTTTTTATTGTTCGAGTCAAAAGTTACGATCGTATATTTACTAATTACGGAATATTGCTTTTATTTAAAATGTTAAAATTTTATTTTTTTAATTGTTATTCAATATGGTAATTAATTACTTTTATTTGATATAAATTTAAAATAATAAAATCGACATTACCGAAAATAATTAAAAGTTGAAAAAATTAATATTCTTTGCATATCCCTGCTTCAACCCAAAAGAAAGTGTTGTATATTGGTAAATAGGCTTCCCCTTGATGCATTCTATAAATATTTAAAGTTTTAGTATTTGTTGTCTACTTTACTAACGTTTTTTGTTTATACTCGGCCTTCGGTTTGTTGTTCTCTATTTTGCAAAGTTTGTTAACTTTAAAAAACAATGGATTCCGATACGTATGTTTAGAAAATTTATTAATTTTTTTTTCATTTTTTTTATTAATCGTTTATGATTACTACCTCTGATATTTAGTGTGAAAACTTAAAAATTTTAAATTGAATTGAAAATAAATTATTAACGTAAAATTAATTTACATTCAAAGTTGCATTCTTGTAATTTATTGATATTAAATAATTAAAAACTAAAAAAGTAATTGAAACACTAGCATTTGTAATAAATTATTTGATTCTTCTTTCTTTCTGACTATTTACCAATTTTTTGACACAGAGTTTTCAATTTAATTTTGTTGGATATATTTGTATTTGATGATTTGGCAAAAGTATACTTTTCTGATGCTGCAATGCAATTAATTTTGTGAAATAAACATGGAAGTTTAAACATGCTGCAATGCAATTAATTTTGTGAAATAAACATGGAAGTGAGAGTATAAATAAAGTAAAAAGTAAACTTAAATTAATAAGATAAAATGAACTTTGAATATTTTAGATTAATAAAATTTGCAATGTGCCAGGATGAGTGTTAGTATTAAAGCTTGTAAAAGCAAAATACCTTTAACATTTAAAAATTGATGTTTGTTACATGGTTTGTTATAAGTATAATAACCCTTACTAACCCCTGTTATGAAAAAATGTTTAATTTTATGCCTACCAATGTTAAAATAATTTTTCAAAGTATATTTTTATGCCTCACAACGTTAAAGGTACATAAAAGTATTCATTTATGCCTATTGCACATGATGCATTAAAATATACTTTCCTACCTAACTGCATAACCATTACAGCAGTTACAGCATTAAAATATGAATCCGTCGTTTTAAAAACATTTACATTGTAAATATACTATTTTATTTTAATTTATTTCATTTTAAATGTTCTAAATTAAGTGTGAGAGTAAAATTCTAATTTTTATAATTATTGATTTAAGTTCACTTTTAAGTCTATTTATACTCTCAATTCCATGCTTATCTCACAAAATTAATTGCATGAGTAGTCCGTAAAGTATACTTTTGCCAACGATTTATATAATTGTATATGTTGGAAGGAGACCATATTTTATACAGCAAGTAAAGTTGGCAAGTACGAGTACATAAAGTACACCATCTCTCACAACCAAAGGTGCATTACAGTGAACACTTAACTTGTTCTAGACTAAATGTATTTTGTCCCTTATGGGACTCATCAGTAGCCCAAGTTTAAGCACTAACTTAGTGCAAATATTATCTCAGTAAACAATATTGCAAATTATTAAGTAATTCACCGAAACACATTTTGGTCGATAGAGACGCACTGTTACTCTGCCGATTAAAAAAAATTTGTGAGTCGGCTTGAATCTTTAAAGAAATTCTCACCCTTTGTATACTTGCACACTTGTAGATTCAAGTCGAATCACTAATATAGATAATTATATATCATTGTTAAGGTTATTTATTTTTCTATCTAGTTTATATTAAATATTTAGTAAACATTTCAATGTGTTTGTTTCTGAGCGACATTTCTAAATGTCAAAAAGTTATTTTCGTAATCCTTTTGCTTCATGAGTTGAAACTCGGGACAACTTGGCTGATGTAGCATGTACATAGCGTGGAAGCATGATAAGATTTTAGTGCTTCTGAACATACCACACAAGTGCTTCAACAAATTTCATACTAGTGATATAGCCTCAAGGATGAAGATGGTTCACGGATGATCATGCAAGATTAATAATGATGAACTAAAGGTACTTATTAAAGCAAACCCAGCAAAAACTACTTAATAAGTTGCTGAAAAACCCAAGGTCCACCACACGACAGTAATTTTTCATTTGAAAAAATTGTTAAGGTCAATTAACTAGATGAACAGATGTGGCATGAATAGGATGAAATTCAGAAACTTCGTCATTCAGAGGTGTTGGATAAACTTAATTTACTCTAAAAGTCAACATTGTACAAGAAGAAGCTAATGGTGACTGTTAGGTGGTCTGCAGCTGGATTAATTTATCATATTTTTTAAAACATGGCCATACAATAAAGTTGGTGGTCAAGGTGCTTGGCAATGCTGATGCAGTGGCCGAGTTTGAATGTATCACATGCAAAAGTGTTTGATGCATTATTCACGTGTATTTATATACCTGGGTTTTTTGTACCAATAATAATGCGCCTCAGTCGCTTGCAATGGTGCTTTATAAAATGGCATTATTATTATTATTGTTATTATTATTATTATTATTATGTAGAATTATAATATTTAATTATTATTTAGAAAGGTGACAACTGACAACTATTGATGAGATGCATAGAAAACTAAGTCAATTGTGCCTGGCATTGATTAAACAAAAGAATCCTATCCTTTTCCATTATAGCGCTAAATCACTCGTTGCACAGCAGACATTAAAAAAAAACCGGAATGTACTGGGTTACAAGATTCTGCTTTACTCATATATCTTAGACCTCTAACTAACAACCACTTCAACAACTTTTTGTGGGAACAATGCTTCAAAACTGAAGACAGCACAAAAAACACTATTTTGCACTCAGACTCCAAAATCGCTAATTGTTAAGTTACTGCCATCAATAATATAATTTGCTAATTGTTAGTGGTTGTTTAAAAAGTGGTGTTTTTGCTGCATCGCAAGAGTGTGAATTTCTTAGTTGACAAAATAGCACTAAAAAGAGAAACGTTTTTACATCTTCTTTATTTGTAAAAGTAAAAGTGATTTAATAATGAATTGTATTTAACATCTATATAATTTTATTTCAATCCGGACCGTACTGTGAATAAAATAATTGACGAAAACGGCACTACACTTTAAAAATGAAAATAGCTGCACAGTGCATTCACTAGCATCTATCATCAGTATTTAGATGGTTGCATAATATTGCTACACACACACACACACACACAAAAACACACACACAACACACACACACATATATATATATATATATAATTATTATTATTAATTTATATCACGTCCTATGCATAGCTTCAGGGGCGCTTGGATAATCAATGATTTTTGACATTTCCGTAAGCCTAAATAAACAAAAAGTTCTTTAATCGTTTCCCAAAAAGTTTAATGGTTGGTTGTTGACGAATGATGGCAGGCAAACCATTTTATATGGAAGGAGAGCCGTATATAAAACATTTGTTGACAACTGATGAATTGCTAACAGGTTGATACAACTGAATATATAAAGACAAACGAAGATGACGAGTTGATGAAGATTTGATGGTTGAAATGTACGTGAGGATGGCTAGTTTAAATATATTAAATACATTGACGTTACTGGTAACCAACGTAGTTTAATGAGTGAATCTGTGCTGGAAGATAAATTACTGATGTTTAGAACAACTTTTGCAACTTTATTTTGAGCTCTTTGAAGTAAAGTTAAAAGGTAGGAGGGAAAACCGTAGACAAGAGAATTACAATAATGTAAACGTGATAGTACGAGACATCGAGCCAGTGCAAAAGCAATATCTTCAGTAACAAAATTACGAATATGACAAATAGTTTACATATGCAAAAAGGTGAAAACATTTTTTGAGAATAAAAACTGAAATAATGTCAAGTGGAGAAGTTTTTTTTTTGGACAAAGAGTTGATGAGGTTAAGAACTTTTTCTGTAGTGACAATTGAAAAAGAAGAAAATAAATACGAGCTTGAAAATTCACTTTTAAAATATAAAAAATTTTTTTTTATTTTTAAAACTTTTTGAAATTAGTCAGATAAAAAATATTTCATCAGTCGAAGTGGGATAAAAATATATCTGAGTCTGTCTCCTGCCAATAAATCCAACTCTGGCAAAATTTTTTGTCTATGACATAAGAGACAACAACGTCTCAATAAATTAATTCATTTAAAAAATTAAATTAAATTTTGTTAATTTTATTAAAGTGAATGTTTTAATAATTTTACTTTTCTTTCAGAGTTGGTGATTCCTCTTCAGTAAATCCTTGGACTAAAGCCAAGGAAGCTTTAGAAAAATTGAATTTGAACATGCCAAAGTCTTCTACTCCTGACTCTACAGCTACTTTTGCTTCTAATTTCTCTGCTAATAATTTTTGCAGTCCTTATAATTACTATTATCCAATGTATAATGTAAGTTATTGTAATACATATGGGTCACCATACTCCACATATAATTACACTAATAACGCTCCATTCAACATCAATTTCATGCCTCCTCCACCTCCTCCAGTTAGTCAACCGGAAACAAGCATTTCCTTTTCTACCAGTCTATCATCTTTTCCAAATAAATTACATGTTTCTCAAAATTATTCTTTTACAAATTTCACCACTAGTTCGACAACTCATACAAATTTATCAGTAAAATCTTTGTCTAACATAAATGAAACTATTCCCAATAACCTAAATTTATCAAATAAAATTCGATTTAATATCAATCACAAAAAAGTGTTCCATGACAATGTGCTAGCTAAAAATTTTGACTCCAATTCTTTAGATAATATGGTCATGAATGATGCTCATTCTTCTAGTACAGATGACAACTCTCTTTCCTCAAATCAAATACCTTTTCAAGATCATGATAATAGAAATGTTGGCTCTAAAAATAATCAGGATTATTCCATGAGCCAATTCAAAAAAACTAATCCAAATAAAGTATGGCCTCCTTCTCTAAAACTGTATGTCCAAAGATGTTTCAGCAGTGTTCAAGAACATGAAAAGGATTTTATGGAAGCAAAACTCAAAGATATGCTGACTGTTGCTTTACAAAATAACAGAGCATTCACTTGTAATTGGGACAATGAACCACTGTTAAAACTTGACGTGCCAACATATTCAGATTGTAAACCTCATGACGTTCAAAATGTAGTTAAAACATCACAAATAACTCCTAACTTGTCGTTAAAGTTGAATTCGCCAAAAAAAAGAGAGAAAGGATATAAAGATAAATGGAAATCGCCTGGATTTAGAAGATCTCGTTCTAAATCTAGAAGTGGCAGTATTTCTGATTGCCGAAGCAGTAACTCCAGTGTTTCATCAGTTAATTATTCTGCAAAAAAGAAGAAAACCGAAAAGTATTTTTAGTTATTATCCTTATTATCATTATTATTGTTGTTGTTGTTTATTATATATTATTATTTTTATTAATATTACTATTAACTTTTTGTTTATCTATTTTTATTCATTAATATGTCTATTTTAATAATTTATTTTATTTTAAATATTGATTTTAGTGATGTTACTATGGGTTTTAAAAAAGCAAACCTTTTTTTGAAAAAAAGAAAAATTAATGTGAGCAAAAACAGAAAAAACTACAGTAGAATTATGAAATCGCAAAGGGATAGGTGGTTTAGTTTTAATTATTTTACAATTGAAATAACAGTTAATTATTGTGTTTTATTTCAAAACTCAGCAAAAATCTTTTCATCATGGAATGTGATAATCAGAAATTAGCAACAAGGAATGCCAGGTTTTCTACTTTGTTGAAGCCGGTGTGTAGGACTGAACCTTTAGTTCTGTCTTCAAATGCTTTTGTAAGTTAATTTAAATAATTTTCAAACTTTTTTCGTTAAAATTATTATTATTAACTTTATTAATTTTTAAAATATTACTTTAATTTAAATTATGTTTATGAGTGCTTTATTTCTCGTTCATGAAAAATTGCTAAATTTAGTTGACATTGTAATTATATTAATAAATGGACATTGTATTTGTAATATTTTTTACTAAGCGATGATCATTTTTTACAGACTAATATTTTTTTAAAGAAATTTTTCCAGATTTATTAAATAATGGATGAATAGTCGAAAAGCGTTTAAAAAATAATTATAAATAACTTTTATTCGTTTCTTCATGGTGACAGATTTATGCAATCAGTGAATTGCATTTGTATCAATCCTACTAGAAGTAGATGGGAATGATTTTTTTATTACAATCCACTTCCATACCCATCTACTGATCCTGTAAAAACATTTCTTACAACTCGTTATTAATCTTTAGTGATCAAAAAATCATAATTTGCCAGAACTACAGTTTTTTACATAATGCCAAAAGGCTTTTGGATTTTATTTCATTTCTTTCGCCAGCTTTTACAGTTTTTTGTTTTAATATATTGATAAATCTTTTATTTGATTCTTTGACGATTTTTATATAGCACTTTCATAAATATTTTTAGATTCAATGCATTTACGCCAGAATTTTATCTTTTTATTTATTTGTCTTTTTAGTGCATGTGGTATATTAAATTTATGTGAGAGATTCTTCCTAGAAATGAAGTATTCAACACCTTTCACGACGCTACAAAAATACACCTAGTCCTTTTTCAAAACCATTACAAAGTCAGACAAAATAAAGCTATAATCACTCATGTTATTCAATAATTTAATTTTTAAATAATCAAAAACGATATTACAATTCTCTATATCATAGTTTAAATGTTAAATTGATCTTTGAACTGTTTTTTATTTTACATGAAAAAATATAACCCAATGATCACAATATCCTCTTGGTTCAAATACCTCTCTCTAAAAAAAGTAGCTGCATCTAGCCTTTCTTTTATTTAAAAGATATGCCAAATGTAACTGGCTTTTTAGAGAAAAAGATATTTTTCTTGAGTTAGGCCAAGTAGCTAATTTTTAGTATTTAAAAACGCACTTTGACTGGTTACTTAATAGAAGCATCTCAAATAATAAAACGACAATGTTTCATCATTGAATAAGTGAAAATAATGTTATTAGTATGAAAAAACTTAATAAAGATTGATACTAAGTGACTTGATTTAATGCCATAATATACAAATAATTATGTTAATATTAAAAATTAAGATGTGAAACTACTTTTAAAGTGATAAAATAATTTTTTAAATTTTACAGAGTACCTCAAGTGAAACTGACGAATCTGACTGGAGTTCTTTACACATCATTGGTACTTGTCAAAATATAGAAAAGTCTTATCTTAGATTAACTACCGTTAGTGTTGTTCATCATTGATACTTTTATTTATTTTATTTATTTATTTGAACAAAGCACGAGCTATTGCCCATTACCGAATTTACAGGAAAAAAAATACATAGTATTATACATGCATACCACGATACATTCGTACAATTGCTTCACAAGTATAACCACGAAGATAATGCATTATACCATGGCAGATTGAAAATAATTTCCAAAAACAATAAATTGTCTTGTCTAACAGTGTCTTGAGTGTCACCATAAATGCAAACTTATAAACCAAGTTATAATAAAATACTTTATCCATCTAACCCCATTAATCCCATCCTACATCTGAATAGCATAATATTAACTACACATTTCCCATGCAATAGAAAAAATAAACAAACATTCATGCATCCATCTAATTTCCTTAACCTCCCCTACCCATATACCAACTCATATACCCACCTACTCATGAATCATTAATTATTATATCAGATAATTATATTAGAACCTAGAAATTTCATTAACTATTTACCAATCAATAAAAAAAAACCAAACAATCATATGAAAAACAATAATAATAATAAGAAAGTTATGAAGTCAATATAAAATATAATTAACCAAAAAATTTATAAATGAAATACGCACATGCATTCAACCATAAATGGGTAATGAAATAATCAATCCAAGTCAATCATACATATTCCCAGTCATTACTGATAAAAAATAAAACAAATACATATTTTTACCTATATTTATGCTCGTATTTTTACCATATGATAATTATTACATTAACCTCATAATAATGAGTATTATAAATGCTGCATAAGTAATTCTCTCATTAATCCACTCCCATCCATCCATGAAAAATTCTTATTCAATCATACTAATAGATTAAAAATCTCAAACCATTCCTACTTATCAACACACACATCCAATTGAACCGTCAGTTTAAAAGTATCACCTATATTGAAATTTAGCATCACCCCAAAACAAATCCAAACGAGATTTAAAAACACTTGTATTTGGAGAGTCAATAACAGATTGCGGGAGTCTATTCCAGTCCGCGACTACTCTGTTACAAAAAAAATATTTTCTAACATCCTTGTGAGATAAACCTGTTGACAACTTCATATGATGCCCTCTAGTTCTCCCATCATTATTGAGCAACATGAACGAATGATCAGTATCTGGATTGGCCACCAACATTTTATATAAAAAAATCAGGTCCGCTCTAGTTCTTCGATATTTCATAGAATGCAAGTTCAATTTTTTTAATCTATCAATATACTCTAAACCATAACAAGAACGGATAGATCTAGTAGCTCTTTTTTGAACTTTTTCAATCATTTGTATTAGGTTTATGTGATGTGGGCACCAAACCTGTACCGCATACTCTAGATGTGGTATGACCAAGCCTTTGTAGAAACATAGGTAAGCCTCTTCATCAATAAGTCTAAAATGCCTGTTTATGATGCCCAACATTGTGTTGGCTAACTTAACTTTACTATATATATGATCTCTAAAAGTGAGTTTATCATCAACAAACACACCTAAGTCTTCTATTACTTTGACTACATACGCCAGACATTTAGCCAATTTTGCATATTGATCACATTTAGTTGCATGGACTTCAAGTCATCTGGACATTTGATAATTTTAAACATCTTTGCATCATCCGCAAAAAGATATATATTTTCACATGCTGAAGGGAGATCATTAATATAAATTGTAAACAGTAGAGGTCCCAGGATACTACCTTGGGGAACTCCACTAGTAGCATCAAACTTTGAAGACAATGCATCACCCACTCGCATCCTGAAGTTTCTCTTCTTAAGATATTCACTTATCCAAACAAGAATTTTGTTATCGAATCCATATTTCTTTAGTTTCAGTAACAAACAGTTGTGAGATATCTTATCAAAAGCCTTCTCGAGATCAGTATATATGACGTGTACCTCCTCATCACAATCAACACCCATTGTAACTTTATCCAAAAATGTCAGCAACTGAAGAGTCGTCGATCGTCCGGGCAAAAACCCATATTGATTTCGGTGAAATAAATTATTCGTCAGAAAATAATTCAAAACATAAACATCATTTTTTTTATTAGTCTTTATTATTGCAGCTCTGACATACGCAGAACCACTTACAATGTTACAGATATATATTATCTATATATCTTTTATTATGTTCTTCAAATCCTCATTTATTGATTTGAAGCAGCCATCTTCGCCACAAAGGCTGTTTTATCCTTTTCACACGACGTACACATGGATTTTATGTGCACGCGCAAGCACCGCATCATATACGCTGAGTATATGATAGCCATTGAGATGTTTGACTCAGCGAGCCATCTAACCACTGAGCCATCTCGCCGGCCAGCATGCGACAACTTACGTCGTCTACCCATTTACCAACCTCGAAAGGATGGACGGCTGGGCTGACCGGGGGTTGGCTACCCTGATGAACCTGCAACCTGCAGAAACTGCAGAGTTCGAACCCGGGTCGTGGGAGTGGTAGACGGACACGCTAACCACTCGGCCACGAGACCCCAATGAGTTGAAACTATATCTTTTGTAATATTAGATATTCTAATATTATTGGCATGGCATCTACAAATTTCAGTATGAAACACTTGGATCAGAGCTAATATTAAAAAATTGAAGCTCACTATAAGATGATATACTAAGTCACCAATAAATTAAATTTCGTTATGCTTCATTTTACTTCGCTACATTTCCTTTAGGGATAAAATGGTTATGCACGCATGCGGAATTCGATATCTTATTTTTTAATCTGTGAATATAAAAAACATGTCATTTAATTTCTTTGTTAAAACTATTGTCTTTAGAGTGCGGTTTGTGTAAACTTAAAATTGTGTTGGGTTTGTTAGTGATCAACGACACCTTTTTGTCTGTCGTTCAAACAAGTCGACAGAATCTCGCTTGAATGTTTGCCGATAACAGCTGTCTGTGTACGTAAATGTTTGGTTAAAGTAGATTAAAGCTGATGTTCTGCTTTGTTTCCCTGATTATAAGAAGAGAGTGAATGAAGTATGACCCGATGATTTCTAGCTATCCTGCAACGTTTAAGTATAGACTGTGTTTTTGTATTAAGTAATCCGATGTAATTTTCATAGATAGTTTACTAATCAAATAGTCAACTACAACAATCAGCAGAATCAATCAATCAATCTTCGTTTTGCGTCCAGAGACCCGGTATCCCGAGGTAGGACGTTGTTTTCTTTGCAATTAACTTTTTGCGCCAAATTAGACGATCAGTTGTATTCATTTCATTTAAATTTAAAGCTTTCATGTCTTGCTCGATTGTTTGCGACCAGGACTTCTTTGGACGGCCTTTGGGACGTGTGCCAGGCACTTCAACATCTGCAAGAGAAGTTATGGCACTGTTTCCACTTCGTTTGACATGACCAAACCACCGCAGACGGTGTTGCCGGCATTCGTCCTTTATATCATCTAAACCAGCACGACGCAGGATTTCGGTAGATTTGATGTGGTCCTTCAGACTAATTCGTTGCATCCATCGGAGCATTTTCATGTCGGTTCGTTGAAGTTGTTGTTCCAATTTGGTTGTCATTGGTCATGTTTCTGCACCATATAACAACACCGGAAGTATCACAGATTTATAAAGTCTTGATCGTAGTGGTTGTGGGATGTCACGTCGCATCAATATAGAGGCAAGGAGATGCCATTTATTCCAGGCTGCACGTATGCGTGCTCGAACGGCAGCTTCAGCTGTTCCAAGTACAATCCAGAACATCCCCTAGATATTGAAACGATGTGACTTTCTCTATTTTAATGGCTTCAAAAACAGTGCTATTTTGAATTTGTTGTTGTGGATTGATGCAAGCAGGACAAACAAAATTGGACACTTTAGATAAAGTACCAACTATTTTTGAACAACGTTTGTGACACCACTGGTTACACTGCTGACACTTGATTGAATTGTTACCTACACCAGCTTTACAAACTGAACAGGGCCATCGTCCAGTAGCTGTGGATTGGATGGGTTCACCAGTGTTCATTGCTTTGGTTTTGTTGATGTTGACTTTGAATCCATGATCGGCGAGTCTGGTGTTCCAATCTTCAAACATCTGTGCTGCATTTTGCTCAGACGTGGCTGTTAAAACGATATCATCAGCATATACTAGATTCCAAATGTCACCAGTGCGTATCGGTTTTGTGATTTCTTCCATCACAATTATAAATAACAGTGGACTGAGAATCGAGCCTTGGTGAACTCCAACGCCGATGTCAAATGCATCTGTGTTTCTAACCGTTGTGCTGACAAGAGTCTTAGTATTCGTATACATTTCCATCACAAGTCGAACAAGATATTCTGGAACGAGTTGTCGACGTAGACTCCACCTGATTGCTTTATCCTCTCCACTGTAGCTTGATTTCATCTTGTTCAAGAACCATCTCATTTTTGTCATTTTTAATACATGAGGCACCAACTATGTCTTTTTTCGTATGATTTGCTTGTTTTGATATACAATACAGAGATTTCATTTGTTCATCTTTGTTTTTAGTGAGCCACTCTCTGCACAGATCTGTCCGAGCCAGTGCAACTTGACGTCTTGCATAGTTGTTCTTCTCACGGAAAATATTATGGTCATCAACAGACTTTGATTTTTGCCATTGCTTGTATGCAACTTTCTTTTCAGCTATTGCATTTTGTACACTGTCATTCCACCACCAAGTGTCACGTTCATGCTGACTTTTTGTACCAGTTTTCCCACAAACTGTAGCTGCAGCGTTTATCAAAACTGTTTTGTATGTACTCCAATCTGTACTGGCTTGCGATTGGTGGTCTAACTGTGTTGCGACAATCTGCTGAAATTTTTCTCGATGAATATTGCTTTTCAGTTTCCACGTTTTGATTCTCCAAGGCATTTATTTAGACTTATGTTTTGACAGTTCAAAAATCAGGTCTGCCACAAGGAGTCTATGTTGGGCGATATAATCGGATGGCCATTCCAGAATAGTTTATATTTTTCTTTGTCTGAGTTGACATGACAGACACTATTCGCCAGGTATAACTTTGACGTTTTTGAATAGCCTTCGGTGTTGTTGCTTGACAGCGAAGAAATCAATTCGCGTGGCTGACGGTCCACTTTTGTATGTTATGAGATGTTCCAAACTTTTTCTAAAATATGTATTCAGTAAACAAAACCCGTGACTTTCAGCAAACTCAAGGATGCGGTTGCCATCTTCATTCCGTTTTCTATAGCCAAAACCGCCATGTACGTTGTCAAAACCATCTGTTTTCTCTCTAATGTGGCCATTCAGATCGCCTCCAATCAGGATTGTTTCAGATTTTGGTATTGTTGAGATGGTGTCAGAGAATGCAGTCCATGCAGTCATTTTTCATCTCTTCTGATTCGCCTGTTTGTGGTGCCTATGTAGAAAAAATAATCATTGTTTGCTTTTCTATGCGAATCTTGATCCACATGAGACGTGAATTAATCCTTTTAATATCCAGTACTTCTTGGGCTAGCGGTTCTCTGACAAAAATTCCAACACCATTTTTGGTCGTCTTTTGACCATTCCAGAATAGTTTTTATTTTTCTTTGTCTGAGTTGACATGACAGACACCATTCGATTTCCATCGGGTTTCCTGAAAGCAGCAGATGTCAATCCTTCTACGCCCGAGCATTTCTGCGATTTCCATGCTGTGGCCAGTCAGTGATCCAACATTGAGCGTTCTAAGTCTAAGTACCATAGAGGGGCCATTTTGAATTTTTCGGCAACATCTCTCCGCTATTGCATACTTTCCAGGGATTCTTGGCAGCCCTTGACCAATTAAGGCCTGCTGGAGACTATGGGCCGTTGTTTTTCTTTGTGATAGCATAAGAGTAATTTGGGGAAAAGTTTTTACATCCGGACACCCATCCTGACGACAACCACCAGTTATAAGCGGTGGGCCTAGCCTTTCGCTCAAAAGCACGCAACGCAGCGTGGATGCAGTTTTATGTCATGTGGTTTGTAAAGAAAAAAATGGTGTTTCACTACATGACAGTTTTTCTAAGTTTTTGATTTTTGTATTTTTTGAGAGCGTTTTCAAGATTTAAAATTTCTCAATAAAAATAGTTACAAATAAAAGCACCGCCACATTGCAACTGTTTGCCGTCGTAACTTTCTAGACTCTTCATACCGAACGAACTAAAGGTGATGATGTGAAAGATTCAGAACAAAGCTTTTTGAACCAGATATCTATCAAGCATATCCGGTAAAAGACATCTGCATTCAAGTCACCGGTGTTTAGTTTTCTACATAAAATCATTCTAGATTTTTTATTTTATTTTTCGCAAACTAAATTGTTTTTCGCTTCTATACCGCTTTTATAAGTTGAAAGCTTGACGATTGCTCATTGCATTGAAGTGATCCTTTCCGCCTTACATTGCTAGACATTTCATATTTTATATTTTTTTAATCGAGTTTTCATAAATGATTGTTCTAAGGAGCTATATAAATGACACATTATTTATTATTATTATTATTATTATTATTGATTATTATTATTATTATTATTATTATTATTATTATTATTATTATTATTATTATTGTACATACTCGCTATTCCCCTACCAATTACTTTTTTTGTTATAAGTAACGATAAGTTAAGATTTAATCTCTCTATCATCTTGATTTTTATTAAGATTTTTTATTAAGATTTATGAATATTAGTCACGTGTCGGATGTCACAACTTTTAAAATATTAATTTTTCTCAAAAAATATTATTTTATTTTCTCTAAAATATGCACTTCTTTGTTTATAAAATAATTTTACATTTTACACAATGCTAGGCTCCTGATGCATCTGTTGTACGACCATGCCATGTTTTACAAAAGGCACTCGAAATAATCAAGCAAAAATGGAAAGCTATACATGATTACAGATACACCTGTGAACAACTCAAATCTATTAGACAAGATCTCACGGTATTCTAATTTTTATTTAGATAAAAATTAACAATTTAAAATATTTTGAATAGAAAAAAGATTTTTAATTAATGTGTTAAAACCAAAGATGTAAAAACTCATTTGTCTTCGGGTTTTTTATGATTCTAGTTTTACAATTTTTCAATGGTAATCGTGTAAGTGTCAAAATAGAAATTTTTTTTATTTATTTGTTTTTTGGATTATATTATAATATATTGCTTAATTGGTGTAGAGCTATTCATGAGTTTACTTTAAAAGCGCTATCTTCAATATCTCTGATAATAATGTAGACATTTTTCAAAGTTCCATTGACTTAATATGTTTTAATTGTTTAACGGTCGGCAAGTAATGCATTCCAAAATTTGCAGCTAAAACAAAAAATGTTTTTTCAAAATTAGGTTTACATTTTTGAATTAATAAGTAATTGTGATTGAATGATTTTAGTCAATCACTGTATTGGGTTTTAGAAACAGGTTGAATTAGTTCCGTCGAGTAAATTTGAGCATCTCCAGTTGAACGTTATTTGCATACGAAGCCAGTGCAGCTATTTCTGATGTAATGGTAAATCAGATTGAATTTTGAGACGCTATCAAACAATCTTGCTGCGTCTAATTGATCTCATATCAAAACGTTGCAGAAGTCAATTTCATTGCAAATAAAGCTACAGACAAAAACTTTTTGACTTAATTGTCAGGTATCGTTTTAGTGTTCTTATCTTTTTAGTGATAAAAAACGACTGCAGTCTGGATTGATATGAGCTTTTATTGAATAATCGAAATACAACATAATACCGATCTATTAAAAATATATGGACGACAAAAATTTCTATGAGTATAGATATTGTATGAATTTATTGCTTATGTAAAATAAAACTTATTTTTTATAATTTTTATATTTGTTTTCGATGTTTGTCATTAATTTTTTAGTCAATTTTTCTGCTTTTTTAAATATATAAACACAAATGTGAAAATGTAGTTATAACAATAAATATATTGTTATCTATATATGTGGTTAATACTGCACAAATTAGATATAAAAAATAATTTTTTTTTGAGTAAATGTGTACTACCAGTTAGGTTAATCATGTTTGACCTTCGTTAAAGATAAGACAATAAATCTGTGATGATTTAATTAACAGGTACAAGGAATTAGAGATGAATTTACCGTGAATGTGTATGAAACGCATGCTAGAATTGCCATTGAGAAAGGTGACCACGAAGAGTTTAATCAGTGCCAAACTCAACTGAAAGCTCTTTATGCCGAAGGTATTCAAGGAAACTGTTTAGAGTTTACTGCCTACAGGATTCTTTATTATATTTACACAAAAAATACTCTCGGTGAGATTTACTAACTATTATTATAATTTTTTTGACGCATTATCTTTTTTGACGCCAGCCAGGCCTAAAAAGTTTTTGAATTTGTTGTTTAAATGTAACGTAGACAACCTCTGACATTAATCCCGCTAATTTACTGTTTATTTATATCCCACATTATCTTATTTCTGCTAAAATATGTTTCGCATTCTCCAATCTATTAATAACTTTATTCGTTTTTGTAACGTTTTTTATAATCAGGTGATATTGACTTTAGTAGACTATAAAATTATTCTTATAATAACAATTAAAAAGGATTAATATTTAAAAAAATTGTTTCACCAGACATTTCAAGCATTGTTGCATCATTAAGTGAACAGGAAAAAAATGAATATTGCATCAAACACGCTCTAAAAATTAGATCGACTTGGGCATTGCAGAATTATTTTCGATTTTTTAAATTGTTGAAAGAACCTGTCAACATGTCTGCTTACATAATGAATTGGTTTGTTGAAAGAGAGAAAAAAAATGCCTTAAAGACCATTATTAAAGCGTAAGATAATTTTTTATTCTCTTCGGGATATTGATGGTTGTAAATGCTAGTATCATTAATACTTGTGATTTTTTAATGTTAATCAGTTTCAATTGTTATTTGAATATCAAGTATCAAGCTTAACTACGTGCGTTAAATATAAGTTGGTTATATTTTGTATATACTATACATTATAGCTTTGATTATAATAAATTTCCATTCTAAACGATCAATCTAAAAATTTTTACAGATATAGACCAAATATTGCTGTATGCAAACTCAGCCGTTGGTTATCATTTGACAGTGATCAGCAATGTATAGAATTTCTAAAGATTTATTCAATATTTTTATCTAACGATGATGAATATGTTGACTGTAAATTAAACATGCCAAATGTTCAACTTCTTTGAGCAAAATAACTTAATTTTTAAACTATCATTTGTATTTATTATCATGAATTTAATTACTGTAAATACATCATGCTATGTTATTGAATATTTTTGAATAATAATTTTCTCAGTTGTCAACAGATTTGAATAAATAAAATAAAATGAGGTAATGTCAAGTTATTCGATATTTCGTAGGTTCGTAATTTCTGGCAGAAATAAAAATTTTTTCGAATCGGAAATTTTCTGATTTCGGTTAAAACATTCCATCTCGCAGAACATTTTTTAATTTTGCTTCACAATTTCAATTAAACACCGCTACAAAATAGGAGATAATTCTGTAAACATTGGAATCAGTTGATGTAATATTTTTTCTTTGTAAAATTATTCCAAAGTAGTTAGAAAAAATCCAGCTGGAGCGAATACCATCATTAATGGTTTTGAATATATCTTGTGTAATTTAAAATTTTTAAATAGTGGCCTTTGTGAACAGCACTTTTTATCTCGTTTTTTAAAATTCTATTTCTGATTCTAATGAATCAAAGTTGAAACATGCCGTGCATATCCAACTTTAGAATATACTGTTGTAACTTGCACTATCGATATTCCGTAGGTTTGTAATTTCTGGTAGGTAAGCACAACTGCTTCAAACCCAGACTTGTTTAAACATTTATTCAAATGTCAACAGTAATCGAAACAATGAATTTAAATCCGCAGGTCACAGAATGCGCTTGATGTGCATGATCGCCAATAATTCACACCTCAACTCTCTAATCCAACTCGGACCTACTAACTAGCTACTAACCTCGCTACTCTCACAAGTACAACCTCCAATAACACATAAATGAAAGCGTCTCAATAAAATCTGGGGTCTACTGTATTAAACACAGCACTAATGCGTATATTGCGTAATATAACGTTCCAGCGTTCAGCATCATCCTAGACATTAGAAACGACATTTAATATCGCTGTTAGTACGCTAGATGTAAACCCGACTGAACCTGGTGGCAGTTGCTGTTGTCGAGGCAGACCAGGAGCTGACGAGCGATAATACATTTAGTAATTTTAGAAATGAATCTGAGGTCTGCAGTTGGACACAATAGACTGACTGGATTTTTTCGAGAATATATTTTTTGGGACCTTGGTAGCAGGATCTAAGATTTTATTTGCCAGGTTCAGAAAATATTGTGACAGCATATCGACAAATACCTTCACGAAAGATGTCGGGATCGAGTTGAGACCGCATGATTAAAAAAAGACAGAATTCATTTTATAAAATCTTCAGAAATAAGTTTTTTTAGTCTTTATTATTATTACTGTAGAGAAGCTTACAGAAGCTCTGAAAGCTATGAAGGATAGAAAGGCAGCAGGGCCCTCTAGACTCACAAATGACATTATCAAAGCATCTGGTACTGCAGGTATCCAAACGTTACTACAACTTTGCCGTGAAATCTGGAGAAATTGCTCAATGCCGACTGAATGGAACTATAGCATGACAGTTCCGCTATACAAAGGCAAAGATGATCCATTGAACTGTTCATCATATCAGGGTATACGTCTGTTAGAATATTCCCTGAAAATTATCGAGAAAATCATTGAGAGAAAATTAACGTCGTGCATCATAATCGAAAATTATCAATTTGATTTCCTAACGGGAAAATCAACAATTGATGCAATTCACATCCTTCGGCAACTGCAAGAGAAGTACCTCGGAAAAATCAACAACCATCACACATTTTTGTAGACCTTGAAAAAGCATTTGATCGAGTTCCCCGTGAAGCAATCAGGTGGAGTCTACGTCGACAACTCATTCCAGAATATCTTGTTCGACTTGTGATGGAAGCAATGAACACTGGTGAACCCATCCAATCTACAGCTTCTGGACGATGGCCCTGTTCAGTTTGTAAAGCTGGTGTAGGTAACAATTCAATCAAGTGTCAGCAATGTAACCATTGTTGTCACAAACGTTCAAAAATAATTAGTAATTTATCTAAAGTGTCCAATTTTGTTTGTTCTGCTTGCATCAATCCACAACAACAAATATGAAATAGCAATGTTTTTGAAGCCATTAAGGTAGAGAAAGTCACGTCGTTTTAATATTTAGGGGATGTTCTGGATTGTACTGGAACAGCTGAAGCTGCCGTTCGAGCACGCATACGTGCAGCCTGGAATAAATGGCATCTCCTTGCCTCTATATTGATGCAGCGTGACATCCCACTACGATCAAGACTTTATAAATCTGTGATACGTCCGGTGTTGTTATATGGGGCAGATTGATTGATTTCATTATTATTGCAGCTTTGACATACGCAGAACCACTTACATTGTTACATATATTATCTATATATTATTATTATTATTATTATTATTATTATTATTATTATAGAACTTGTAGAGCGCCTTTTATAGTCACCCAAAGACGCTCCATGATTTGTGCGAATCAATCCAAGAAGATATGAGTTTTCAATTCCTTGCGAAACTGTTGAAGAGTCAATCCCGGCCGACGCAGGTGATGGGGCAAATTATTCCAGATCGAAGGACCAGCAACTGCAAAACTTCTATCAGCAACAGCTAACTTTGTTTTCGGCACCATCAATAGATCTTGATCATCTAAACGCAACTTGATTGACAGATGAGATCTAACTCTACGTATTATCATTTCAGACAGGTAACTTGGACTGAGACCATTCAGGCATTTGAACACCATGATGGAAATTTTGTATAAGATTCTTTTCCTAACATTAAGCCAATGAAGATCCAACAACGTTTGACTAATGTGATCAAACTTCAAACGGCCACTAACAATCCTGGCCGCTCTGTTCTGAATTGACTGTAGAGAAGACAATGAACTGTTTGATACTCCGTAGAAAACACTGTTACAGTAGTCCAACTTTGAATGAACAAATGCATGAACCAAACATTTCAATGTGTCATTATCTAATGAGTTTTTAACTTGATTAAGCCTTCTAAGCTGAAATGAGCACTCCTTACTAAGCTTTTTGGCATGAAAATTCATTGACATATTTTGATCCAATACGATCCCCAAGTCACCAACGGAGGAACAAAAATTAACATCCGACCCAGGTATGTTGATGGACTCAACATCAATTTTCTCCAGCTGTTGCCAGGTACCAATCAAAAGTAGTTGAGTTTTACCTTCATTCATCTTCAATCTGTTATCTATCATCCACCCATTGAGTTTTTCGATGCAACATACAAATCTATCAACTTCATCTTCAAACGTTGTATTACATGCAATCGGAACAATTATTTGCACATCATCAGCAAACGCATGATACTTGAAATTAAATTCCTCAATAATTGGGAACATATCAGCTGTATAAAGTAAAAACAACAAAGGCCCAAGGACTGAGCCCTGAGGAACTCCAGACGTGACTATTTCAACATCTGACAACCCGTTGTTAAAGAAAACTTGCTGAGTCCTTCCAATCAGGTATGATTCAAACCATGAAGCTACTACATGAAAGACACCAAAAAAGTATTTCAATTTATCAATCAACAAGGTGTGATCAACGCAATCAAAGGCAGCACTCATGTCCAATAAAGCCAACAATGAAACTTTGTGTTGATCCATAGCTGCAAATAATGTAGACGTAACATCAATTAAAACCGTCTCAGTTGAATGGTTCTGCCTATAGCCCGATTGGTGAACAGGCATCAAATTATGTCTATTCAGATGACTTAAGAATTGCCCCAAAACAATACGTTCAAGAACCTTAGACAAAAACAACAGATTGGTTATTGGACGGAAATTAGAAATATCACTTTTATCAAGGGATGACTTTTTTAATATAGGAGTTACAACAGCGTGTTTCAGAGGATTAGGAAAACAACCAGTTCTTAAGCACAAGTTAACAAAAAATGTCAAAAATGGAATAAACAAGTCGATATATGATTTAAAAACTTGAGTCGGAATAAAATCATTTGAAAAGGATTTTGTTGGAGAACCTAAAACAATTTTTTTAATTTCGTCACCCGAGCACAAAGAAAACGCAGAGAACAACTCATCAGACCGAAACCTACAATGAGAAAAGACTGGTGCAATCGAAGAAGCTGTTAAGTCCATCACCCTCTTAATCTTATCCTTGAAAAAAGAAGCAAAATCAGATGGCGTAAAATTAATTGATTCACTCAAACCATATATGTGTATGTTTGCGTTGTAGATAGATGCAAATGACATTTGTGCGAATTTTTCTTAATTTATGTAATTTATATCCGTTATTTTTCGTTTAAATTGTATCGTTTTGATTTAATTGAGGTTCTAGAATTGGATTACTTTCTCATTTGTTAATTTTGTTTAAAAATAAGAAGTTTGAGTTTCGTTTGCTGGTTGATTTAAGGTCACTTTGACTTTGTTATTGAAGTTTACTTTTAATTATGTCTAAGGGACACTGCGTCAAGTGTAAAAGTGGATTTAAGAATACGAAAGAAACTGTGGTGAAATGTTGTTTTTGTGATGGTTCCGTTCATACTAAATGTCTTGAGTATGATGATGAAATGTTACGAATTATTAACAGTGGTAAAAATGTAAAGTATTTTTGTGATAATTGCTTGTTGTATTCGGACAATTTGAAATCTCTCAGCATATTGATTGAGAAACAGGATGACTGCAATAGGCAGTTGAAACAAATTATGGATAGCAGTGATGAAATCAGGAGTGAGTTGAAACAGTTTAAGACTTCTGTTGATCAAAATTATGATAAATTGGATCTTATTAAAGCAGATGTTGACTCATTACTTGATAAATCTACTGCTAATGTTAAAAGTGAGTTTGATAAATCAATAAATGTTGTCAAGAAAGAGTTTAGTTCATTGTGGACCGATGTTGTGAAAAATAAATTGGAAGTAGTAACTAATGAAGTTAAATCTGTTAAACACACGTTAGATGTATCCAATGATAGCAAAGAACGGGAGAATAACATGGTTATATTCAATTTGAAGGAATCTGAAAATGCTGGCAAGGATAGAGATGTTGTCATGTTTATTTTGATGTCAATGACAGAGAACAAACTTAATGATGCTGATATTCTGGTAATAACTCGTCAGGGACATAGACGTGACGGAGTTTTGAGGCCTGTCATCATCAAATTCAGTAATGCTGTATCGAAAATGTTGACGCTGAAGACATCCTTCAGAATTCAAAATTGTTTGGTAAATTCTCGGATAGCCATATATCTTTATATGTTCTTTATATCTTCATCCATTGATTTGAAGCAGACATCTTTGCCACAAATATATTTATGTACACGCGAAAGCACTGCATCATATACGTTGAGTATATGATAGCCATTGAGATATTTGACTCAGTGCGAGTTGGAACTACTGAGCCATCTCGCCGGCCAATCATGCGACAACTTACGTCGTCTCTCCATTTACCGACCTCGGAAGAGTGGACAGCTGGGTTGGCCGAGGGTCGGCTACCCGGATGAACCTGCAAAAACTACAGGATTCGAAACCGGGTCGTGGGATTAGTAGATGGACACGCTAACCACTCGGCTACGAGACCCATAAAGTGCAATGTCATGGCTACTGTTTCTCGGTTGATGGTGTTCGGTCCTGTCCAATACCTAAACTATAAGGAGCCGCACAAAATTAAAATTGACAACGTAAGTATAAGTAAAACTAAAGTGTACCTAGAATGTATCTAGATCAAAAATTAACATTTGTACCTCACATAAAAAATGTTGCTTCAAAGTTTTCCAGAGACCTGGGCTTAATCAACAAATACAAATTTTATCTTCCCACTAGAGGTCGTACGTTGCTCTACAGTTCGTTATGTTTGCCATATGTTAACTATTGTAATTTAGTTTGGGCTTCAACGTATAAATTCAACACTAAAGCAATTTCTCAACTCATGAAAAGGGCAGTAAAAATGCTCTCAGACAGCTACCTTCACTCAATAAATTCTATAAATGTTTCATCACATTCAAATCTCGTTTTCTATTTCACGCAACAACGTGCTTACCTTACACAAATTTTAGTCTTCAAACAGCTAAATGGCCTTCTTCCCCATGCATTCTTGATTACTTCAAATACAAAAAAGCCAGAAAAACGAGACAACAAAATTGTCTTCTTTTAAAACCGGCAAAAAATAACATTTTATTTTTCCATAATAATTGTTCGGGTCCCCGACTCTGGAATGCATTTCGTTTTGACATGACCTACATGCCTACATACTTACATACATACACACATGTACTTGGTCTCCACAGAGGCTGGCAGATTTTAACATTAAGTTGTATATTCATATTTAATTGCGAGTTATAATTTCAAGCGTTTTGTTTTCTCAATTGTATCATCACCTAACTTGATTATGTAGGGTTCTTTGTAGTTGAGGTATTGAACTGGACCAAATATCATTACTTGGCTTTTGATGAGTTGATCGTGAGTTTGTTGGCTTCAAACCAACAAACGATATTTTTCAACTCTTCGTTTCTGTTTTCACTGAGCTCGTTGATTGATTTACCGCTACTGTAGACGTTTGTATCATCCGCGTAAATGATGTAACCGAAGAACGTTGATGCAGTTGATAAATCGTTCACGTAGAGGATGAACAACAACGGACCCAGGATGCTACCCTGAAGGACACCATGGTTAATGTTGAGCATGCCAGAGGTTTTGTTATTCACATAAACAAATTGTTTTCTGCCGGTTAAATAACTTCGTAGCCATTGGAGTGTCGTGCTTCTGAAGCCATAATTTTCAAGCTTCTTTAACGTGATGTGGTTGATGCAATCAAATGCTTTGGACGGATCCAAGCATATGCCGATTATATATTTCTTACATTCGGCATGGAAACCAATTTTCCGAATCAACTCTATGATTGCAAGTTCTGTTGAGTATTTTTCTCTGATGCCAAATTGACAATTTGATAAAATTTGTTTTTTTTTTTTGTAGAAAACTACTCATTCGTTGGTGCATGATTTTTTCCAAAATTTTCGAAAAGGTTGGCAGAAGTGCTATTGGTCAAAAATTTGACAAATCTGTACTTTTTTAACTTTTTCAACAGGGATTATTTTCGCAATTTTGAAGCAACTTGGGAATGAACCCACTTCGAAGGACAGATTTATCAAATATTCTAAAACAGAAACAGTTGAATGGATTGTGGAGACGACAATTTTTGATGGTATGTTGTCCAAACCGCTTGATGCTTTTTGCTTCAAAGATTTTGTTGCTGCAATGATTTCATTTGCTGTGACGTATCTATAGAAAAATGAACATGATACAGACGTTTTAAAATGATTCTTCCAGTGGGAATTTTGTTTGATCGACTGCAATAAGTTCGGTGCTAGGTTGATGAAATGAGTGTTCAAAACATTTGCTAGATCTGATATTTCAGAATCTTCTTTCGTTATTTGATGCACACTCTCCTGTATGTTCTTCCCATTTTTCAGTTCAATCAAGATGGCCCACGTTTTTTTACCGTCTTTTTTATATTTTTCAAGAAGATAGTAGTAATAAATTTTTTAAAACTCTATTTAATTTATAACATGTTTTTTTGAAGTTTTTGAATTTATTTAAGTTATATGGATTGCGATTTAAGATATATTTATTTTTCAATTCTGAAGTGACCCACAGTTTGTCTTTTAACAATTTCGAAATGATTTTACGATTGGTGATTTGACAGCTTTCATAGAAACATTTTTGAAACAAACTTATAAAAGTTTGGGATGCTTCATCAACGTTTTTGTTGTTGTATACAGCTTGCCAGTCTAGTTGTCGAAGTTGTTCGTTTAGATCGTTGATTCGTTTAAATGAGTATGAAAATTTTTCTGAAGGTATTTTAGCTTTGTTTTTTTGTTGCACATTTTTTGTTTGATTGAAAAGGGAGAAAATTGGCAAATGATCAGAAAGATGGTGGGTAATAACTCCTGATGTTACAATGTTTTCTGAGATATTTGTGAAAATGTTGTCGATAATGGATTGTCGGTTGTATTCAGTTCTTGTAGGAGTAGATATTGTTTGTTGTAAGTTGTAACTGTTCAAAAGCTGTAAGAAATTTATTTTATTGTTATTGTTGTTTGCATTCGACAAATCGATGTTGAAATCTCCTATCAGAATAATCGATTTGTTTACATTGTTTGTCGTTAGTAGAATTTTATCTAAACAGTTGAAGAGAGATTCAACATCATGCGATGGTGGTCGGTAGATCACAATTATTAATACATTTTTAACGGCAGGTTTATTCAAAATTTTTACAACGGAAAATTCAATTTCATCATTTACATTTGTTATGTCATCACGAATTTTATAATGAAGATTTTGTTTGATGTAGAAACCAACGCCTCCTCCATGTTTTCTCGTTCGGTGTTTGTCTTCAAATGCATATCCGTCAATATTTATTAAATTTTCGTTATCATCATTGAGCCAGCTCTCAGTAATTGCAAACATATCTGCCTCAAAATTTATTTCTTGCAAGAATTCATAAACATCATCTGATTTGTTCAGTAAACTTCTTATGTTTATATGAAGGACGTTGAACAAATTTTTATAATGTTTCTTAAGTGTGGTCATATTTAAATTGAAATTCATTACATCATATATTTTACACAAGTTTTCAAGGTTTTTGTCATAATTTTCATCATTAACATAAGCAAAAATTTCATCATCCATGCTTGTTGTTATTGGTGTCGTTTATTTTCTGTTGATCGAAACGCCAATCTCTGACGATGATGTGCTGTAGGATGAGGTCGGGGTTTTTCATTTTGGCAGCGTCACAGCTTTCAATGCACACTCTGAACATTGTCGTCATTGAACTGTGTCGTCATTGCTGGTGTTGTCAGTTGTTGAGGTATCTGCGCGTTTCACGACTGGGTAGCACGAGATGACGTTTACTTCAATCGATTTTAAATAATCAATGACGCCATTTCTATGGCATTTCTGAACGTTGCTCATTGAAAAAATGATTTTTTAATGAGCATTTTGTTCGCTTTAATTTTGCAGTTATCGTTGTTCTTTTAGTTACCGATAATTTTTTTCGTTGGTTTTGTGATTTTATTTTCAACAGTTTTCCCATTGTTGTCGTAATGTTGAATTTTCCTCGTTCCTTTCATCCATCTCAGGACTGTTATTTATTCGTGGTCTCTTTTTTGATCTAACCAGCGTGAAAGGTTTTTCGATTTTTTTCTGTCTGCGTCACCACAGCCATTGACCACAGGTTAGAGTTGGTGGAATTGTTGTTGCTGCTTCTGGTGTTATTTGTTGTTGGGTTAACCTTATCTTGAGAAACAATGGCGTTGTTTTTGATAACTGACTCGCTCGTGCGAACTTTCTCAATATTAGGTGCTGCATTATTTATAATGTTTTTTAGCGCCGATATTTGTTTAGCATGACTGTCAAGTGTTCTAAACAAACATGCTTGTTGCATATCGAGCATTTCTTTCAGCTCTTTTCTAATATTTTCAAAATTTATTTGCACAACTTTGTCTAGCGAAGGTACTTTATTCATATTTGCACTGGCAAAAATTGTGCATTTATCAAGAATATTATTTAATTTCATTACCTTTAAAATTACAAGACATTCAATTAATTTATCATTCTTTCTTGTGGCACCTTTCGGCAAACTTTTTTCCATTTCTTCATCCTTAAAGTTGTCAAACTCACTTTTCAGAGTTTTAAGAGCAGACACAATATCTTCATTTGTATAGAAATTACAAATGTTACAAATTAACGACTCGTCGTCCTACAAATTCGAATTATTAACTAAAAAATATAACAATTCGTTTACAAGAACTTGCCTCGTCGCCATTTTTTCCGGAAGCCCATATATACATACGAAACGAAACGAAATTTTATTTGCTCCATAAAATTAAAAAAGAATTTAATGATAAGAAAAGGGCTGACCATGATAGAATTCTTATTGGAATTCATCGAGCATGGCCACCGTAACAGAAAATACAAATTATGTTTCTAGTTTTCTATATAAATTATACACCTTTGAATGTAATGGTCCGTGAATAATTCACAATTAAAAACCGACACATACATTTATGTGTGTTTTCAATAAAAACGTTTTTAACCTATTTTTGAAGTTCTTTTGCATATTTTCATTACAAAAACCATTCCATACTCTTGGACTTTTACATATAATATGTGAAAAGAGTATATTCGTTTTTGATTTGTTAGCTAAAATGTTATTTAATCGTCTATTGTTAGTATTTAAATTGAAATAGTTATTGAAAATATGCGGGAGCTTATTAGTTAGCTGCCTATACACAAAAACGGCGATGCAGTACAAGATCAATTTATTGAAATCTAAATTGTTAGTTGTTGTGAATAGTTGATGAGTGTGGGCTTGTTTTCTTGACAACGTGATAATCCTGATTGCCCTTTTCATCAGTATCATGATAGGATGGGTGGTTGATTGGTATGCACTGGCCCAAACTACATTGCAGTACGTCACGTTAGGCAAACAAATGGCATTGTAGAGCACGTTTAAACATCGTTTTGGGAGGAAAAATCTGACCCTGCTGATTATTCCAATTGACCTTGCCAATTTGTTGGATATGTAATCAACATGGGACTTGAAACTCAGTTTCTGATCTAGAAATACACCCAGAAATTTTACTGTTTTACTTTCAGTAATTTCAAGATTATTAATTTCGATTTTGAACGGCTCTTTATAATTTAAATATTGTATTGGTCCGAATACAATCATTTGAGTTTTTGAGTTGTTAATTGTTAACCTGTTGCTGTTGAACCAAGAAACAACGTGTTTTACGTTATCGTTCGTTTTTTCAATTGTTTCGTTGATGTTTTTTCCGCTACTAAAAATGTTAGTATCATCAGCGAAACAAACATAGTCGAAATAGTCTGTTGCATTTGGAAGGTCGTTGTTGAACAATATAAATAAAAGTGATCCCAAAATGCTTCCTTGAGGGACACCAACTCCATTTGGCCGTAATGACGAATACTTGTTTTTCCAGCAAACAAACTGTTTCCTTTCTGACAAGTAGCTTTGGAACCATTTCAAAATCACACCCCTTATGCCATAGTGTTCCAACTTGTCTAATAAAATTGCGTGATCAATGCAATCAAAAGCTTTGGAAAGATCAAGACAAGTTCCAACAACAAAATGTTTTTTTTTCCGTGAGTATTCCGAATTTTCTTATTAGTTCTATAATAGTCAGTTCTGTCGAGTATTTTTCACGAAAACCAAACTGATGACTGGAAAGAATGTTATTGTTTTGTAAATAAGATGTGATTTTTTTATACATTATTTTTTCTATTATTTTAGAGAAAGTTGACAAGAGTGAGATGGGTCGAAAATTTGATGCATCATTGTTTCCAGTTTCTTTTTCTATTGGTATAATTTTTGAAATTTTTAAGCATTGCGGAAACACACCATCCATAATGGAAAAATTGATGATGTGTTCAAGAATAGTTGCTGATGAGTTGATTGTTTCTATAATGACTTTTGTTGGAATGACATCCCAGCCACTGGAAGATTTCGGAATCAACAATTTAGCCGTAGATATAATTTCATCTGCCGATACATAAACACAAAAAAATAAATTCGAAACCCTGTTGCGAAGATATAATTTCCAATTATTATCAACGTTAAAGGATTTCATCAAATTTGGTGCTATGTTTACGAAATGTTCATTTAGAAAATTTTCAGGATCTTCTATTAGTTGGTCGTTTGAAGTTAATTGAATATTAGAACCATGTCTACTAGAAATATTTGAAACTTCTTTTATAATTGACCATATTTTTCTAATGTCTTTTTTATTTTGCTCAATTTGTTGAAAATAATATTGACGTTTTGATTTCGTTATCAACTTTGTACAAAATTGACTAAAGCTTTTGAATTTTTCATATTTTTCCTGAACAGGATTTTTCAGAAACATTTTGTATAAATATTTTTTGTTGTTGATCATTTTTTTAATATCTTTTGATATCCATGGTTTTTGTTTCATCAAAAGTTTTTTTTTCAGTGATTGTATTAAACACGCATCATAGAAACAGGACTGAAAAATTTTGATAAATCTTTCAAAAGCCATATCAACATTTACACACCCAAAAACTTGGCTCCAATCTGATGACAGTAGATGTTCATTTAATTTTCTTATACGATGTGCTGAGAAAGAAAACTTGTTGATCGAATAACATTCGTTATTGGTTTTTGTTGAATGCTTAGCACAATCTGACTCACGTATGCACACAAAAACTGGTAAATGATCAGATAAATCACAAGCAATTGTTCCACAGAGAAAACTGATATGATTTGTTTTTAAAAATATATTGTCGAGTAGTGACTGTTTGAGGACGAAGATTCTAGTTGGTACGTGAATGGTTTGCACCAGACCATATGAAATTATTAACTGTTGTAGTTTTGTTGAATCAAAGCAATCAATATTGAAATCACCAGTGATGAATAGCGATTTATTTTCTGAACTTATAAAAGTTATTGCTTCTTCTAAGTGGCAAAAATAAGTTTTAAGATGGAGATCGATACGTTATAATTATTATTTTATTTTTTTCAGGTTTTTGGTGACAAATTTCTAAGACCAATGTTTCAAAATCAAGCGGAAGTTTTTTATTGATTTCATCACGAACCTTGCAGTTTAACCTATCTGACACATAGCATTTAATTTATGTTGTCGATTTTTGCAAAAAAAATTATATCCTCTTAAGTTTACTAAATTATGGTTTTCACTACGCAGCCAAGTTTCTGATATAGCAATAACATCAAAAAAAACATCCAATTGATCGATAAAATCTTCTAGTTCTGACAATTTATTGATGAGACTTCTTATATTTAGATGAATCAAATTAAAATTTTTACCACTGTTAATTTTATTATTTTTACTATAATTTGCATAAGTTGATTTAAAATTGTTTATACATGAATGAAAATTACACATTAATTTAAATTTATTTTGAATTTCATTGTAGTTATCAGTTTCATCATCATCATCATCTAGGATATTTAGCTTATCCATCTTTCTTTGTTTTTTCAACAGTAACTTCAGCTTTTTTATTTAATTGCCACTCGCGCACTATAATGTGTTGCGGCAATATCGCTGGGTTCTTTATTTTTTTAACGTCATTTCTATCAATGCAAACTCTGAACATAGAGGACTCTATATCATCTTTAGTTTTATCATCAGAATAGTTGACTGTGTTGTTATCAATACTATTTTCAGATGCTGTCGATTTTTTCTTAAACTGTTTAACGACTGGATAGCATGATAAAACTCTAATTCCGTTAGTAGTCAGATATTCTACGACATCATTTCTGAGGCATTTGCTAATGTTGCTTAGACAGAAAACAGATTTTTTAATTAACTCTTTGTCTGCCTTTAATTTACCGTTATCTAGAATTTTTTGTCCAATAATTCTAACTGGTTTTTTCTCAACTGTCTTAGAGTCAGCTACCTTGTTGGTTGATAATTTTGGTTTGTTGTCTGCTTTTGAGTTGTTGCTGAGCTGTTGAGATTTCTTTCGTTTATAAACAAGCAAGAATGGCTGAACATCATCGCTAATTGGACTGTCATATGCATCCGACCATAGTGGTTTATTGACTAGTTATTCAGTGGTATTAATTTCTAAATTTTTATTTATTTCAGCATTATTAACGTCTAATTTATTTTCAACAGTATCAACAAGTTTTTCCAACTTAACGGTATTAATGTTGTTATTTTCAGTAGATTCTATAAATTTATTTATTTCAACAACATTATTTTTTATTATTGAAACAGCTTCGACAAGTTTATTAAACTGCATATGTTGACTGTGCAACATTTCAATTAGTTCACGTTTAATTATTTGAAAGTTTATCGTTAACAAACTTTCGACGTTTGGAGCTTTATTTAAGTTAGAACTCACAAATATAGAGCACTTTTCCCAATATTTATTCTCCTTTAAATATTTCATTATGAAAATACATTCAAACAATTTCTCTATTTTCCTATTCCCGCGAGGCTGAAACTTTTCAATTTTTTCAATTTTCAAATTAACTAATTCGTTTTTCAGAGCTTTAATAGCATTATCAATATCCTCAAAACTGTAAAATTCAACAATGTTATTTACAAACGAGTCATTTTCACTTAAACTCAAATTATTTTCAAGAAAATATAAAACTTCATTGTTTACAAGCGACCTCGCCATGTTGAAATACATACATACATACATACATTTAATTCTTTCTGTATTTTGGATGGAGCGTTAAAATACCTGTCTGTGCGAAGCGTTTAACATAGATTAAAGCTGAACCCGGATATGATTATTACTTCCCTATAGTTCTAATCAATTATGGGTTCATTCATACATACATACGAAACGAAACGAAATTATTTATTTGCTTCTCAAAATTGAAAATTAAAAGAAAGCAGGATGACCATAATAGAATTTATATGAAATTCATCTAGTATGGCCACCTAAACAGAAATGTTCCATGTTCACACAAATTTTCAGCAAATAATAAAAATTTTCTCTAAATGATCTATGAGAGGTATGTTAGATGTTAGTTGTTAGTAAATTAACAAACTCAACTATGTTAGCAAAACAGGTGTTAGTTGTTAGTACGATGGTTCATGGTTTATGTATAACAATGTTTGGTATCTATCCAGAAAAACACGGGATAGACATTACATAGTTATCTATATATTTAAGCAATATATAGAATTATAAATATATATACATTGTTCTAAAAGTTAAAGAGAAATGTGATGTAATATATGTATGTAATGTATGAAATACATACATACACACATACATACGAAACGAAAGGAATATTTTATTTGCTTCCCAAAATGACAATCAAGAAGGCAGGATGACTATGATCGAGCTCGTGATGAGCTCATCTTGCACAGCCACCCTGTCACAAATAAAACAACAAATGGTAAGAATATTCAGGAAAATGTAACATCATATAACTAAATTATTTTGACTAAATCAACAGAACTTAATTCTTAAGTTTAAAATAAAATTTTTCAGTTTCCGCCTAAATTTAACATCAGACATTGAGTCAATTTTAAAATTGTTCTTTAATAGCAAATTCCAAATTCTTGGTCCTCTGCAATATACGTGGAAGAAGAGAATGTTTGTTTTTGATGAATTTGATCTAATGTAATTTTGTCTCTTGTTGTTGCTGCAAGAGTAGTAATGATTGAATATTGATGGTAACTTGTTTGTCAGCTGTTTGTAGACAAAATTAGCCGTGAAGTAGGCATTCACCTGATCAAAATTCAAATTTTTCGTTGACAAAATAATGGCAACGTGTGCGATTGCTTTGTTGATGATGTAACTAGCCGTACTGCCCTCTTCATTATTAATCGGATCGGATCGGTGATCGTGCGATAGGTACCAGCCCAGACTATGTTGCAGTAAGAGATGTACGGTACGCATATGGCGTTATAGAGCATGTTTAACGTTCTTCTTGGAACGTTAAATCTAAATTTGTTGATAACGCCAAGTGCTTTCGCCATTTTTCCTGATACGTAATTTACATGGTGTCGAAAACTTAATTTTTGGTCAAGGTAGACACCTAGAAATTTAACTGATTTGCTTTCGCTTATTTCTAGTCCATTAATTGTAATCTTATACGGTTCTTTGTAGTTCAGATACTGAACCGGCCCAAAAATAATCATTTGAGATTTTTTGTTGTTTAACGTTAATTTGTTGTTTTGAAACCATTTGACCACTTCTTTAATGGCAATATTGGTTTTATATAAAAGTTCATGAATATTTTCACCTTTACTAAAAATATTAGTGTCATCGGCATAACAAACAAAATCAAAAAACTTCGATGCTTTGGGAAGATCGTTTATAAAGATCACAAACAGTAGTGGACCCAATATGCTTCCCTGGGGAACTCCAAAGTTATTTGTTAGTATCGTCGAATTTTTGTTCTGCCATCTAACAAACTGTTTCCTATCGGTCAAGTAGTTACTAAGCCATCTTAGGGGTGTTCCACGGATTCCATAATAATTTAACTTTTCCATCAAAATGCTGTGGTCGATGCAGTCAAAGGCTTTTGACAGATCGATGCAAGTTCCAATGACAAAGTTTTTATTTTCTGCAGCTACTCCAATTTTACGGATCAACTCCACGATTGCCAACTCTGTTGAGTGTTTATCACGGAAGCCAAATTGAGAGTCTGAAATTATGTTATACTTTTGAAGAAAATTGACAATTCTTTTGTACATCAATTTTTCCATAATTTTTGAAAAGGCCGGTAGTAACGCTACAGGTCGATAGTTGGTTATATCGGTATTACTGCTTTGCTATTGGAATTACTTTTGCCACTTTGAAACATTGAGGAAATATGCCTGTTGCAAATGAAAAATTAACCAGATAACTCAAAATTTGAGCTGTTGAGTTGATTGTGAAAATAACAATTATTGAAGGAATGTCATCAACACCACTTGAATATTTGGGTCGTAAACTTTTTGCCGTCTCGACAACTTCTTCAAATGAGATATCAAGACAAAAAAAGGAATTTGAAAGTTTATGGTGCATTGTTTGCTTCCATTCAGAATTTTTCGTAAAATCTTTCATCAAATTTGGAGCTTGGCTTATGAAGTGTTTAAGTGCATCTTCAGGATTGTCTAAAACCTGTTCATCTGAGGTTAGTAACTTTTCATTTTTATCATCTTTACTTTTATTTATTATTTTTAAAATATTCGACCACGTTTTTTTGCTGTTATTTTTTGTTCGTTGAAACAAGTCACTGAAGTATTGTTTTTTTTAGCTTATTGTTGAGATTTGAGCAACGTTTGGCAATTGATTTAAATTTCGTGTATCTTATCCCGGTTGGATTTTCGAGAAATTTTTTATATAAAGAATTTTTATTTTTGAGTAAAATACTAAATTCTTTTGTAATCCATGGTTTGTTACAGAGAAAATTTCTAGATTTTTTGACATTTTCCATTAAGCAACAGTCATCGAAAAATTTTTTAAATAGGTCAATGAATAGTTTGAAAGCATCATTTACATCATTGCATAACAAAACATCTGACCAATCGTTGATACATAAAGCTTCATTAAGTTTGTTTATTCTACTTTTTGAAAAGGAGTAGATTTGTTGATTCTTTACGTATTTGGACTTATTTTTGTTAATGGAAGAACTGATAGTGACGGTGATGGGCAGATGGTCCGATATATCATGAACGTGCACACCACATAACGCTACCTGTTGCGGAAAGTTTGTGAAAAAGCAGTCGATGATTGATTGCTTTTCAACACTGATTCTTGTTGGAAGCGTTATTAACTGATCAAAACTGTAGCAGGTAAAAAGTTGACATAAATACATTTTGTTAACATCATCGTTCGTGTCACTCATATCAATGTTGAGGTCACCTGTGATAACAACATGCTTGTTTTCAACGTCTATTTGTTGCAATATAATTTCCAATTGCTGCAGGTAA